GGTAACTGAAGTCACCCATGACAACCATGGTCCTGGAGCCTGCGGCCTCAGGCAGTTTAAAAAACATCTGCATGTTACAAATAATCAGACTCTGCAGAAAAGTTCCTCCTTCAGAACTTCAACTGCGTCTCCTCCCTCTTTACCAGCAAATCATGTTGATAGGGGAAGATGGAAAAGGCAGAGGCTAAAGGCTTGTCTACACTGGTTCCATACCCAACCAGGAAATGAGGCAACATAGTTGTTCTAAAATGGCATCAAGTGCATTTAGCAAGTATACCTGAAATTGGGATCCTAAAAGGAGATCTTGATTTGCACTCAAGAACACAATGGCTGCATCCAGACAAGTGCAGAAGTTTGTTGGGCTGGCCCCAGCAGCCTTACTGGGGTCCTGGGGGCCTCCAGGGGCTGCAGCTGTGATGATCCTCCTGGGCGGATCCTGGCTGGCAGCTGCAGCATGGCTCCAGGCAGGCTGGCTCCATTTTTCATCAGTGTGTGCTGCTCCTTTTTTTTTCTGTGGGTTTTTTTGACCCCGGGATATCCAGGGGTCAAAAAAAAATCCCATGGAAAAAGAAAAATAGAACAGTGCACGCACAGCAGTATGCCCTTGCAGTGCAGAGAACTGTGCTGTATGTGGCGCTATAGACATTTTTGCACATACCACACAGCCAGGCTCGTTGGGAGACGCCCATTGGACACGTCCATACATGCACACACCTGCGCTTGCAGCAGCTCAAATAGCAGTGGCATAAACTTGTGCCAGAGATTTGTGCCTTGGCATATGTGCCTGAACACGCACTTTGGCGTGCAGCAAATTGTGCCACTTGGGGCAAACTGACCTTGCCCAGCTCCTCCCAGATCTTCAGCCAGTGGGAGCTAGAGCCTGGGGACAGCACCTGTGCTGGCTCCAGCAGTATAAAAGGCTGACCTGGTGAGCAGCTCAGGGCTACTTGCCCTCAGGAGCTTCTGAGGAAGGAGCCCCTGGAAGGAAGTTGGCCATGCCCCTTCCTGTCCCAGGCTGTGGCTGTGGCTGTTAGTTTGGTCTCAGGAGCTTCTGGGAAGATGCCCAGGCCCTTTCCTGCCCCTGGCTACTGCTAGCTGGGTCTCAGAGCTTTTGGGAGTAATTGGCTGCACCTCTTCCTGACTTGGGCCGCTGCTGCTGCCCCCTCATGGGGGGGGTCCTCTGTTGCACACTGCTGCTCCCCTTCAGAGAGGGGCCCACTGCACTGCACTACACCCTAGCTTCTGCATCCCAGTTCTGGCCTGCTGCCCAGCCTGCCGCCAAGCTGCAGTCGGGGCATAGCCAGAGGAGGGAGCCTGCGCTGCCTGTAGGCCCCTCCTCCCCCACCATCACTGCCAGAGCCTAAAGGTGCCTTGTCTGCCCCAGCTGTCTTGGCAGGCCACCCCCACCTTCACCTCCATTTTCACCAGAAGCACACCCTGAGTGGCTGAACTGGACAGCTCCAATCATCACTGCTGCTGCCATTGTTTCTGCTGCTGCCCCCTCTCAGGAAAGGGAGATTTCCTGCTGCACCACCTGACACCACACCTGCACTGGATTACTTCCTAATTGACTGACTGCTCCTGCCCTCCCCCACAGCTACCTCACTGCATCTGGTCCTGCCCTGTCTTCCTGCCTACTGTTCTGCCACTGAGTGCCTGGCTGGAGGCCTGAGGGGCTTCTGGACAGATTTTCAATAAACAAAGCCCCTCCAATGCTCCAACCATCTTTCACATCTGCCTTAGCAGCCTTCCCTGTGTGTTCTTGCCCTTGTGTGGTAAGCCCTGTGGTCCACTCCCCCTGCCCTGTTGTTTCTTGCATGGCTGAGTAAGCCAGCTTAAGTTTTTCCAGCCCTTGTGTTCCCCCTCCCCCACATTCTCAAAGCATAGGTCTCCTGTTTTTTTTTCTCCTGTGGAGCTGTAGCTCAGTGAGCTTCAGCCCCCTCCTTCCCTCCCTACCCCACTTTGCTTCCACAAACCCAGCCTGCCCCTACTAAATTCACTAGCCACACTGGATATTTTGTTTTTCTTTATAGTCCCTGCCCTCATGTGAAACAATGGCAGGGAAGGAATCTTCTGGGGGGCAGGGAGGCAGATGCTCCCACAGAGCTTCCTGCAGCCCCCACTATAGGGGCAGATCCCAGCCAAGCCCCCAAGGGGATGTAAGCCCCTGCAGCCTCCACCCCAGAGGCAGAGTCCAACCAACCTCCTCCAGGGGTGGAGAAGACGGCAACCTCTGCTGCAGGGGCAGGTGGGACTCCAGTAGGGAGCCAGCAGGACTAGGGGAACTCCCCTGGCCACACTTCCCCCAGAGGGCTTCCCAAGCCTCCTCTCCCATCATCATGGACTAAGGGCAAGGGCAGTAAGAAGGGCTCCTCTTCAGCCTCCTCCACAGCTGGGGGTGGGAAGGGCAAGGGCCCTGCCCCCAAGCCTAGATCGCCAGCGCCTGAGGGGACCAGGTGCACTACACCAGCCAGCAAACCTACTCAGCCTGGTCCTGGCCCCAGCCCCAGCCCCACCAACATGGCTGTGGGGGTGGGGGGACTGCAGCTATGCACAGGCAGCTGCAGGGAGACCTGAAGCCAGGGGGTCTGGACCCTCCACCACCAGCCCTTCCAGCTCAAGTGGCAAGGCCTCCTTTCTGGCACTCACCCACAGGCACGGGGTGAAGTGCCAACTGGCCAGGCAGGAGACCCTGCATTTTGAGACCCGGGTGCAAGCCCTGGTTCAGGTAGTGGGGGGTCCCCGAGATTGTGGTGGCCTCCCCCTTTCATGGAAGGGGGTCTTTTTCCTTGCTTCTGAGACTGCCACACAAAAGGCATTGAAGAGGGGTCTCATGGTGGAGGATGAATACGCCCCCCTCAAGCCTCTAGAAGAGCTGCGGACCAGGGTGGTCCTTAGCTCCATCCCTCTCTGTAATCCCAAATGAGCCCTGCTCCTCCAGCTCCAAACCCTGGGACGAGTTATCTCCCTGGTGGTGGCCCTCTCGCTGGGGTGCCAAGACCCCAGCCTCCATCATGTGAGCTCTTTCTGTTGCCAGGTTATGATTCAGCAGGAGTGCAGCTGGAGGCTGAGGGGTCCCTGGCAATTCCTTATCAGGGGGCGCTGGTGAGGATTTTCACTGGGGGCCTGTGGTGCTTCCGGTGCTGTGCCCTGGGGCACTTGTATCATGAGTGCCCCATGGGTGAGGTGGGGAGGGCATCCCACTAGCAAGAGGGGTGCCCCTTGTACCCCAGCCACAACTACGAGCCCCCTCATAAGCTCAAGGGATCCCACCCCCAAACTAGTTTGGCAGAGTCCTGGGGAGGGCAGCAGCAACCAGGGGGAGAGAAGGAGCAGGGCCCCCCTGCCCCTAGTCATGCCCCCGTCATGGCTGCCCTTGTTAGGGACCCTGCACAGACCCCCCAGGGCTCCAGCTCTATCCCATCATCTTGTGAAGGCACCCTATCCCTGTCCCAAGGGGCTGCAGAGTTCTCCCAATCCCAAACAGGGTCTTAGCAGATTGGGGGGTTCAGATGGTACCTAGGGAGCCCACTGAACCCCAGGATCAGGAGGAGGACGCCCGAGAACCAGCAGGCTCCATGAAGCCTGCAGATCTGTCAGGCCCAGCTGTCCCCAGGGATGAGCTATTTGCATTTCTTGACTGTGACTACACCCGCCAGTCTGCCAGCAAGGTAAAGCTTGCCTTGGACCACTGGGGAGATTTTGACAGCGTCCTCACTACTGCAAGAGCACTGGTGGGGGAAGGCAAGAGGCCCAAAAGCTGCAACAAAATAGGTGGCCCCGCAGTTTCATAGACACTCTCTATACATATGGGAGGGTGCTATGTGAATCGGCAGGCCCCACACCGGGCATTGAGACGCAAGAGGCCCCTGCTGAACTGTCTACTCCATCACCACCCCAGCCATGAGGTTGTTTAAGATTTCAACCCTCAATGTCCACAGCTGCAGGAAGGATCTCTGGAGGTGCCAGGTGCTCTCCTTCCTTCAGGAGGGAGGGTACCCTGTGGTATTCTTGCAGGAGACCCTGATGACTCCAGCCGACGAGCCTAATTGGCAACTGGAGTGGGGGGGGGGGGCAGGGTCTTTTTTAATCACCTCTCGGCCACCTCTTGTGGGGTGGCAACCCTGTTCTCCCCAGGCCTGCAGCCAGAGGTTCTCCAGGACATTGAGGTAGTGCCGGGCCACCTGCTGCACCTCTGGGTCCAGGTGCAGGGGCTGGTCCTGAACCTGCTGAATGTGTATACCCCTGCAAGGGACCCCGAGTTGGTGGATTTTTTCTGCCAGTCGGCCACATACATCAGAACCCTCAACCCTTGCGAGTGCCTGGTCCTTGGAGGGGATTTTAATGTCACCCTAGATGTGTGAGACCAGTTGGGCAGGGAGCAGAACCAGGTTGCTGTGGGCATCCTTGGGGAGATCCTGACAGACTACTCCCTGGTGAATGTCTGGTGTGCCTGTCACCCTACCAACTCCCCCTGCCTGCACCTATGTGAGGGTGGGGGAGAAACAAGCACGCCACTCCTGGTTAAACCGGGTTTATATCTCTTTGCTGCACTTTGCTGAAAGGGGTCGGCCAGACGCCAGAGGAGTGGGCCCGGGCAATCATCTTGTCTGGGCCCAGGCCACACTAGGATCTGGGTGTCCAGGGTCAGCCTACTGGCATTTCAGTGCCAGTCTGCTGGAGGATGTGGGCTTTAGGGAGGCCTTCCAAGAGTTCTGGCTTGCCTGGAGGGAGCAACAGGCAGCTTTCCCCTCGGCTTGGAGGTGGTGGTATGTGGGGAAGGTGGGCATCCAGCTTTTTTGCCGCAGCTACACTCAGGGGCACACCCGCACCTGGCAGAGGGAGGCAGTCCAGGAGCAGCTCAAGCAGGAAGTGCTAGAGCTGGAGAGGTGCCTGGCCATTGGCCCAACCAACCTGTCCCTCTGCAGAGAGTGTCAGGAGAGGTGGGAAGAGCTTTGTGCTCTGGACAACCACTGCGCCTGTGGTGCGTTTGTCCACTCATGCATCCAGCTGCTTCAGCAGATGGACTGCAGCTCCTGCTTCTTCTATGGAGAGGCAGTGGGGTGCCAAGAAGTACATCACCTGCCGTCTGGTGGGTAATGGCACCCCCCTAATGGATCCAGGTGAGATGTGCCAGTGCGCGCAGGTCTCCTATGAAAAGCTCTTCTCTCTGGATCCGACTGATGCTGAAGCCTGTCAGACCCTGTGGGAGGGACTCCTGCAGGCCAGTGTGGGTGACCGGGACTGGATGGAAGCTCCTCTCACTCGGGCTGAGTTTTCAGCCGTCCTCCACCTGATGCCTGGCAACAAGGCGCCGGGCATCAACAGGCTGACTGTGGAGTTCTACCAGGCCTCCTGGGACATCCTCAGCTCAAAACTTGCCATGATCTGGGCCAAATCCGAGGGAAGTGGGGAACTTCCCATGTTGTGCTGACCTTTCTGCCAAAGAAGGAGAATCCCCGCAGCCTGAGGAACTGGCATCCCATGTCCTTCCTCTGCATGGACTACAAGGTGGTAGCAAAGGCCATCTCTCTGTGCCTGCAGTCTGTGCTTATGGATAGGATCCATCCCGACCAGACTTACACGGTGCCCAGATGTTCCATCTTCAACAACCTGCACCTGGTTCGGGACCTCCTGGAGCTAGCGTGTCAGGAGGGCTTGTCTTTCATTCTCTTATCCCTGGACCAGGAGAAGGTGTTTGACAGAGTGGATCATGGGTACCTCACAGGCACGCTACGGGTCTTTGGCTTTAGGCCCCACTTTGTGCAGGCTCTCCAGGTGCTGTATGCCTCTGCAGAGTGTTTGGTCAGGCTCAACTGGACCCTGACGGAGCCCATCCTGCTCAGGAAAGGGGTGCGTCAAGGCTGTCCACTGTCAGGCCAGCTGTACACCTTGGCCCTGGAGTCCTTCCTCATTCTCCTGCAGAAGCAGGTGGTGGGGTTGATGCTCCGGGGGCTGGTGGTGTGGCCGGTCCTGCCATCGTATGCTGGTGATATACTCCTTATGGTCCAGGACTCAGGCAACCTGGTGCAGGTGGAGGCCTGCCAGGCATTGTACTCGGTGGCTTCCTGCCTGGGTCAAGACCTTTGGCCTGGCGATGGGTGGCAGGTGGGCTCACTCCCACCTGTGCTCCAAGGGATCTGCTGGAGTACAGGCTTGCCTCTGTACTTAGGGGTCTACCTGTCCTCTACAGCCCTCCCCCCGCCCAAGAACTGGCACCAGGTGGAGGCAAGGGTGGTGGAGCGGCTCCGGGCATGGGTAGGGCTCCTGAGATGCTTCTCCCTGTGTAGGAGAGTGCTGGTGCTGAACCAGCTGGTCCTGTCCATGCTCTGGCACCACTTACACACCCTGCCTGTGCCCCCTGAGGTCCTGGTGGGATTCCAGACAGGTGCTGGAGTTTTTGTGCCTGGGATGGCACTGGGTCACTGCAGACGTCCTGAGTCTCCCCTTGTAGGAGAGTGGCCAGGGCCTAGTTTGCCTGTACAGCCAGGTCCTGGCATTCCACCTTCAGTCCCTGCAGCGACTGCTATACAATGTTGGTAGCCACACGGCATGGGCCACCTGGGGTGTAGTTTCCTTTGCCACTTCTGGGGGCTCCAATACGACTGGCAGCTTCTCAGCCTGCTGGGCTTCTCACTGCAGGACCTGTGAGGGCTCCCAGATTTCTACCAGGACCTCCTCTGGGCCTAGAGGGTGGTCTTTGCCTCCAGATCCCCCACAACAGTCACCCACGGTGCCAACCTGCTCATCCAGCCCCTCCTCTGGAACCCCCAGCTGGAGGTGCCGGCAGCAGAGGTGCCTCGGTTGCGACAGAGGTTGATCCCACCTTGTGTCACCCATATTGGAGACCTCCTGGACTACTATAGGCAGGAGTGGGTGGACCCTGTTGCGCTGGTCTGGCGCATAGTACCATGTGCAACCTGCCATCTGGTCCTGGAGGTGAAATCTGCCCTACCTCCTAACACCCTTGCCTTTGAACAGCTCCTGCACAGCAGTGGTCTCCCCCCTCCCCCCCGTGTCCCCAAGCCCACTGGAGTTTGTCATGGGGCCGGTGCCTCACCTGGCTTCATGGTGCTTCCAGCTCCACCGCCTGAGCTGGCTGGAGGACACCAGATCGGTCTGCTTTTCCACCATCCATTGCTGCCACCTCTACATGCTTGTGTGCTGCACTGTCCATCGTGTCACCCTCATGTCCCACACAGACACCAAGTGGCGGGACCTACTTGGCGAGGGTGTGGCTGGAGCACCCCAGTGCCTGAGTCTGTACTTCACGCTCATCCCACAAACCACTGGGGACCTCAGCTGGCAACTTCTCCATGGAGCTGTCACCACAGGTGTGTATGTGACGAGCTTCACAGACACCCTCTGCAGGCAAAGGGAGACCCTGGTGCACATGACCCTCAAGTGCACCCTCCACCCCCAGAACCTCCTCCTGAGGTTCTGCTTGAATTTCATCCCCACCTTCTTTTTGTTTTTTGTTGCCCCATCTGCAGTCCCACCAAGGCCTGGGACCTCCTGATCAACCTCCTCTTGGCCCTGGCCAAATGGGCCCTGTACTTGACCAGGAAGGAGGCTCTGGCTGGGAAGGTCCCCAGAGACTGCAGGGCCACTTTCCTCTCACTTGTCTCTGCACATTTCTGGGCAGAGCACCAGTGGGTGGCATCCACCAGCTCCTTGAATGCCTTTGAGGACCAGTTGGTGTAGCCCAGGGGGCTCTGCTCAGTGTCCCCCCTCTGGAGAACTTTTCACATTTTGAACCTTTGACCCCTATGTCACTCCTACACTTTTCTTTCCTAGTTGTCCTACAAAAAAAAATTGCATCTTCCAACCTTTGGCCGGCTATTAGTTAACTAGGTGGACCTTAAGGCCCACGATCTCTGGAAGGTACAAATTGACAGGAGTTTCTGAGGCCCAGACAGTTGGTATCTGGGGACACTACCCCCTTGTGCCAGCTGGACTGCTGTAGCAGCCCTAACAAAGAGTGGTCCCTGCAGCAGTCTGGTAGTGAGGGCTGCTGCCTGGCTGTGACCTGCTGTCACCTGTGACAGCATCTGCTCCCTTGACTTGCAACCTCATGGCTGTGCAACTGCCAGACCCAGATGGGGACCTCACGGCCACCTAGGCTGTGGTATGGGCACTATAGCAAGCCACCTGCACCTCCGGGCCAGCCATAGGTGACATGTAGATGGAACACGGTGGGGCATGTGCCACCCCTGACAGGGCCGCTGCTGACACTGTAAACAGCACCTGTGGGAGCTCACCATCTCCTGCCCCACCAGCAGTGCCAGAGGGAGGACCCCCAGATTTGGGAGTCACCAGTCAGCCATGAGGCCAGCTGCCAGTGGGCCTTGGTTGCAAAGTTGGCCTTCAGGTGGCACTTCTGTCATGTCTTCTGATGTCTCTGCTCTGCCATCTATGCAGTTATCTCCCAAATGTGCTCCTTGTGGTGACCTGCTTTGAACTGTTGAAGCATGTTCTCTTGGCCCCAAAGGGCCAGGAGGTCAGCCACCTTGTTTGCCCTTCAGCTGACTCCCCAGTGCTGGCCATGGGCAGGTTTCTCTGCCTGGGTCCAGCCACTTACCTCACCATCAGGGATCTTGGTGTTCCTTCTTTAAAAATTGCAAATTCTCTCATTAAAATACCCAAAGTCTGTGTTCTTCCATGACTAAAATGAAACACCTCTATATCTACAGAGAATAGTTAGGCAATGTTTTGTTGATATATTTACAATTTTAAAGCAATTTGGAAGCCCACCACTGCCTTTATCATCATAATAAAAACAAATGCTAAATATCTATACATATGGCATTTGCTTTTGTTTTTTTTTTATCATACAAATGATCAGAGCTGCTTCTGCCCCCTTCACTCACCAGGATGTGGGGCGCTGAGCAACACTGTGCCTGTGCTCTGCCTCTGCCCCTCGCTCCTGATTTGCAGCCCCCCATTAGCTTCCTCCCAGCAGCAACTCCATCTCCGCATCAAGACATGAGTGCAGCTGCAGCTGTCCCAACCACTGCTTTGTGGCTCTAAGCAGTGCCAGCCCTTGCTGTTCTGCTCCCCGCACCTGTTACCCCTGCAGCTGCGGCTCCCACTAACAGGTCCTGTTCTGTCCTGTCTGGTGGCTGGGAATGCTGGGTGTAGGGTTTGTGGGGGTGGGGTTTGTGGGGGAATGTAGGGCTTGTACCGGAGTTTTGGGTGGTGTGGGGTTTGTGGGGGTGGTGTGGGTTTGGGGGAACTGCTTGGGAGGGGTGGGTCCTGCGACTGGATGCCAGCAGGCTGGACTGTCGCCCTGCACTACATGCAACCCCTGGTCTCAGGTGGCACTGGTGCACATCCAGGGGTCTCTGTCAAGAGCGTCCTGACAGCTGCTGCTGCTGCAGGGGTGGCTGTGCACCATGTGGGGGGTGGGCAAGGGACCCACCTCTCTTGAGCATTCTCCCCCTCCACACCCACAGTCCCCCCCCAACCTACAATCCTGCTCACCCCCATGTTCCTACTTACCTAGGACAGAGCCTGAGTCCGATCCACCACTGCAGCCTTGCCCTGCTCCTAGTTGCTCCAGCATGCTGAGCATGCTGGAGCAGCAGGGACATGTGGCAGCCATAGAAACACTCTGACTCTGGCCATGTGCTAAAGTGTCTCCCTGGAGGACCCAGCCTCCGGTTGCCTCAGGGCATGCTCTGGGACCATGTCCTGTGCTGCTTTTCCCCAGTGGATTATTTTTTGATACTGTGATTTCCTGGTACCAAATTTAGAGCATATTTGCAGTGCAGGGAACATTTTTTCATTCCCAGTGTGCCTCTTGTGGCATCTCAAACTGCTTTTGAGGTGCTGCAACAGGCACGTGCTCACTCATCTGAATGTGGCCAATGAGGCAACTATTCAAGGCTTAATTTTTTCAATGTTGTTTGCAGACTGGAAGCAATATTCCCTGATATGACGTGGATAAATAGTGGATGATCAAACATCTTGCCAAGCCAGGGGTTAAGTCAAAAACATTCCTCATCTCTCAGAACTTCCTAGAAGTTCACTACTTCCATTAACCTCAAAGGGATTTAAAAAGAAAAAAAGCCTTTGAGATCATAGGATCATAAAAAAGTAGAGCTGGAAGTGATCTCATGGGGCGTGTCCAGACAAGCGCACATGTGGTATGCAGTGCCACAAACCTATCTATGGCATTGAATGTGCAATTATTCCCCATGCTATTAATTTGCAGCACCAGGGTTGGTTTGGGGTTTTTTTTGACACAGGGAAATTTGTCCCTGAGGAAACGCATGCGCATGCTTGTCTGGACATGGCCATGAGGTCATCTAGCCTAGTCCCTTGCTTTCAAGTACACCCCAACCTCAAACCAAAAGAGAGATAGCCAGCCCACAAGAGAGATAAGCACTCATCTCTAGCATTTGGTTCATAGCCTGGAACCCAAAATGCAGAAATTACATTGGTCTTGTCAAACTGCCCTGTCTAAAAGATATATAGGCACTGTGTGTGTTACAGCTAAGGCTTTGAATAGGACTGCAATTGGACATGAGTGAAATGGGAGCTGTGCGTACCTGAAGTAACACATTCCCCTTAATTTCATTAACAGGACATCTTCAGCATTACCAGCCAGAACACTAGGATATGTCTTCAGAAAAAGAATGAGATTTTTGATGTGGTAAAGGCATGTTTCTTTACATACAGTGTATGAGACAGATGTAGATAGCATATAATTCTTGATACTGAGAAGCCCAGTTTAAAGGGAGAATAAGACTGCACCAGTAGAATGCCACAGCATAGTTTAGGTGGAAATCAATTCCAACATAAGGATGTCAGGTGAAATCCTGGACCCACTGTAGTTAATGAATTCAGGAGGGCCAAGATTTCACTCGTTGACTGGCAGCACAACGATGCTTGGAAGGATGTAAATAGGTATTGAGTGACATCTGACATGCCTAAGCACTGAGGTAGGATGACACAGAAAGGAATTGGAAAAAGGCTGTAAAAAATTATTAATACTGTATACAGCAGCAAATATAAAAAAAGCATGAAAATAATGGATTAAAACCATTAAAAAATAATCAGGAGGCAAAGCAGGAGCAATTAGACAATGCATTAGAATATGCAGGAGAAAGGAAGAAGAATAGGAAAAGCAAGGAGCGATATATCTTTTTCAAATATATTGGGAGGATGAAGAAGGCACCGGGTAATGTGGGACCCCTGCAGGATACGCTGGGCAATCTGGTGGTTGCGTCAGAGGAGAAAGCGGACCTCTTTAACCAATTCTTCACCTCCGTTTTCTTGTGCAGGGACCGGGACTTCCCTGCTGTGATAGAAGCCGGACTCGAGGGGATCGCCTTCAGACCTCAGGTTGGGGAGGACCGGGTTAGAGAGCTTCTGGAGGGGCTGGACGCGTTCAAGTCAGCGGGTCCGGATGCTCTCCACCCCAGGGTGTTGAGGGAGCTAGCTGGGGTTATTGCAGGGCCCCTGGCACGGCTCTATGAGCGATCGTGGTGCTTGGGCCAGGTGCCAGATGATTGGAAGGTAGCAAATGTGGTCCCCATCTTCAAGAAGGGGAAGAGGGAGGACCCGGGTAACTATAGGCCCGTCAGTCTTACCTCAATCCTGGGGAAACTCTTTGAGAAGATCATCAAGGAGCACATTTGTGATGGGCCGGCATCAGAAATGATGCTCAGGGGCAATCAGCATGGATTTATTAGGGGGAGATCATGTCAGACCAACCTGATTGCCTTCTACGATCAGGTCACAAAGGCCATGGATGCAGGTGTCGCGGTGGATGTAGTCTTTCTGGACTTCAGCAAGGCCTTTGACACCGTCTCTCACCCCATCCTAGTTAAAAAACTAGGTGACTGTGGCATAGATGCCTACACAGTCAGATGGATTGCAGATTGGCTGAGGGGTCGCACTCAGAGGGTGGTGGTGGATGGGTCATACTCGACCTGGGGGGAGGTGGGTAGCGGAGTCCCCCAGGGCTCGGTCCTGGGGCCTGCGCTGTTCAATTTCTTCATCAGCGATCTGGATGATGGGGTGGAAAGTAACCTGTTTAAATTCGCTGATGACACCAAAATTTGGGGGGAGGTGAGCACGCTAGCAGGGAGTGAGAGATTGCAGAGGGATCTGGATAGGTTACAGGGGTGGGCTAACAGGAACAGGATGCGTTTCAATACGGACAAGTGCAGGGTGCTGCACTTGGGCAGTAGGAACCAGCAGCACACTTACACAATGGGGAACTCCCTACTCGAGAGCACGGAGGCAGAAAGAGATCTTGGAGTCATTATTGACTCCAAGATGAACATGGGCCGACAATGCGAGGTCATGGTTGGCAGGGCTAACCGGACCTTGTCGTGCATCCACAGGTGCATCTCGAGTAGAGCCAAGGAGGTGATCCTCCCCCTCTACGCGACGCTGGTCAGGCCACAGCTGGAGTATTGTGTCCAGTTCTGTGCGCCCCATTTCAAGAGGGATGTGGACAACATGGAGAGGGTCCAGAGGAGGGCCACCCGCATGATCCGGGGACAACAGGGCAGACCCTACAGTGAGAGACTGCGGGACCTGAACCTATTCAGCCTCCACAAGAGAAGGCTGAGGGGGGACCTGGTGACCGTCTATAAACTCACTAGGGGGGACCAGAAGGGTTTGGGGGAGACGCTGTTTCCCCTAGCGCCCGCTGGCATAACAAGGAGTAATGGGCACAAGTTGATGGAGAGGAGGTATAGATTGGATATCCACAAAAACTACTTCACAGTTAGGGCGGCTAGGAGCTGGAACCAACTTCCAAGGGAAGTGGTGCTGGCCCCTACCCTGGGGGTCTTTAAGAGGAGGCTGGATGCCTACCTGGCTGGACTCATTTGAGTCCCGTTTTTGTTTTGGGGTTTTGTTGTTCTCCCGCCCTGGCGGGGGGTCGGGCTAGAAGATCTACTAGGTCCCTTCTGACCCTAAATCTATGAAATCTATGAAATCTTATAGTAAAATGGATTTCTATTGTATGAAAGAAATTGTCATTATCCTAAGAGTCAAAATGGTCTCCAAAGAATGCAGAAGCATGCTTGTTATCTAAGGGCAGTGCAGGCATTTACATATATACTATCATTATCTTTAATAAGACATACAACACCTAAAAGTCCCTCTACACCATCATTAAACATTCTCCTTAAATAATTATAGCACATTTTAAAAATAAATAGTAATTGGACAGAAAATGGGGAGGTTTACACATATTAGAGGAGGTTAATGTTTTTATCAAACAAAGTATTGCCTGAACATGACTACTTTCAGTGGACTTGAAAAGCAAAAGAAACCTGCCTTACAACTTTTTCTAAAAAGATTTTGAGAAGATTAATAGAAAAATACAAAAAGTCAATCTAAAACATCCCAAAATGATTATCTGACTTTCACTTCCTGAAAATTGGTTTTAATTAAACCAAAATTTTGATAATGATTTCAATATGAGTTTTAAAAAACAGTTTACAACAAAATGAAGGCTAGAACCCTAAACCATGTAAAAGAACTCTGAAATTTCAGTCTTTTTAGGGTGGGATTTTTTTTATTTGGTTTAAAAAAAAACAATGTAGAAAGCTAAGCAAATACTACCACCACAACACAAGATTTTTGGAAGGAAAAAAATGTGCAATACTATGCAATTAGAAATATGAAGTAGTCCAACAACTGGCTACTCAAGAAGAACAAGATGACTTATATTCTACAAACAGTACCCAGAAAAAAAGCTTTGGAGTCAGGGGAACTTGATTATTTTTCACTCCATGGATGTATAAAAACTTGTTTGTTTTGCTGATCTAGAGATCATTTAACTTCATACCTCTGGATAAGAATAGCCCAAGCAAAAATTACAAATTTGATGTCAAGTAACATGGAAAGTAATGGGCAAATGAAGTATGTGTATCATATGGGAAACTAGGTAAGGAGGTCATGATTTAATTGGTTAGTCTAATAGATTTATAAAAGGGACTAGGTTTAACAAGGGTGGCATCCACTAAACAGTAAATATGGTGGGAAACCATTGACTAAGAGCAGCCAGATTAACTCAAGGAGTTAACTCAAGGAGTTAGGTAAACTATGAGAGAAGGGATAAACTATGTGATCACGCAAATCATTATGATACATATCAAGAGTGTGTTGAAGTCCTTCAGGGGCCATGAAAGAATTGCCCTGCCCCTCCCTTCTATACAATATTGTGTAATTGCTCAGGTTCATTAATGGTTACTTTTATATTCCTCTAAAGTATTTTGTATAATGATGAATACAAGATACCAGACTAGAAGGATCAAAGGTCATCCCTAATGGGGCATATCCTCTGTATCTCTGATGTTTGAGAAGGACTGCATGCGGTTAGTAGACTGACACAAGGACATATAGTAGAAGTAACATCCCAAGTAGGATCTCAATGAAACAGAAAATGAAAAACTATAATAAGGTGACATTTTAGTCATAATTCAAAATTCAGGAAAGACAGCCAAGTGTATAAGACAGAGAGCTGACAATGACAGTCAGAAGGACTTGGCTACATTCAGAACACAGATATGTTAGCATGTTTTTACTTGCAGAACAATGTCAAAAACCAGCACCCAAAACATTAAAAAAAGGACTATATTCAAGACTTTTAAAGAAGAGAAATACCGGGGAGGCACTGAAGGAAAATGAGACAATACTACTCACTACCCTAATCACGTAAGGCATTGCTTTCGCGCATCTCTGCCCTGCTTTCTGCCTGGCTTCAGACTAACATGTCTAACTACCTTGGAGTTTCATTATTGGTCATTCTACCTTTTTCAAGAGATGGGAGGAAGTTGGTTGGAACCATACTCATTTATTTGTATTACTATAGAACCTAGGTCTTCCAGTCATTGATCAGCACCCCAGTGTATTAGGCAATAGGCACTGTCCAAACACAGACCAAAAACATGTTCCCTACCCCGTAAATCTAAAGCATGGATCGGCAACTTTTCAGCAATGGCAGGCTAAATTAACAAAGCTAAATTCAAAAGCAGCCTGACTGCCGTTTGTGGCCCAGTTGTGTCTACTCCTGCCTCTGAATGCCTCTGATTCCATTGCCATCAGGCTGAATCTGGTCTATGGGCCATAGGTTGCTGACCCCTGGTCTAAAGAGATCAGGTCACCTTTTCATAAAAAGGCCGTAAGTTAGAAGGCCAAGGAAAACCCTAACAACAAAAATTCAAGGATCTTTGTTAGTCAGAGAGAACCTAGGTCTCTTACTTTAGCATCTGAATACCTTTTCTGAGCTATTGGGAAATATTTGGCAGTGAGAAAAGTTTGAAGCTATATAAGAATGAATTATCTTTTAAAATTAGAATATTAATAAATGGTAAGCTCATAATGCAGCAGTTGAATGAATGATACATAGAATAAACTGTTCATCTGCATAAAAGGAAAAATCAGTATTAACAAGATATAGAAGAAATACTTATTGTGATTCTATCAGGTACCCTAATGGAGAGGATCCACCAGTACAAATTTTCTTAAAAACATCCCTTGAGCTTTTCATACCATCCTCATAATGCTGTAGCAATTTTTTGCATGGTGTATATTGTTGCATGAGACTCGATGGAATTTTCCAGGAAAATGAAAACAAGAAAACAATTACTCATTATTTGCTGGAATGAGAGGGAGACCCAGAGCAAAGGTAGATGCTTGTTCTGTATTAATTTTTTGGTGGCCATCCAATTTAACTCAGCTATTTTACTTTATTATGTGAGAGCTCTCAGAGGAGTACTGCTGACAGCACACTAGAGATTAAGGGCCAAAAAAATAAAAATAAAAAATCAATGGTCAGATTCTGGGAAGAGCCTCAAACTACATCTGATTATTATATGCCTAACAAATGTATATTTGCAAGCAAAAATAAAGGTTCATCTCTACAAGGAGTTTTCAGGTATAGATATTTCAAAGTAAAGCCATATGGTAGGCATTATGGAAAAATGCTGCTTGGATTAATGTGCTTTGAAAGTAGATCAAAGTTAAGCGTGTACACGATACCCTTATTCTGGAATAATTGAGTCCATACATTGAGTTATTCAGATAGCTGTTCCTGAAATACTCCACGTTAAGACAAGTTGCTGCTATTTGTACCTGCAATAGGTAGCCCTGAGCCTGCAAGGACTTTGGCATCTCTTATTATTGCACACATAATCTCACTGAGTTTATTCACTGTACAGAAATGTACACTCCAGCCATAAATTTGGCAGGATTTGGGTCCGAAAGGATGTATTTTAAGAGCAGGCTGTACATTTTTAACTTTGGGAAGTTAAAAAAAATCTGATTCCAATTTTCTTCCCAAATCACTCATTTTATTTTAATTAGAGTTTCTGATTTAACCAAGAATATTAGAATGCCTGGGGATTTAAAACAAAGACAAAATTAACAAGCTGCTGTGTTAGATGTTTAATCCTTCCATTAAAACCTACTCTCCACAAGAAAGAATAGACAATAGCGTCTCGTTATAGAACACACACATTTCAACACAAGAGACAACCCTTCCTGCTGTTATTTCCCAATGCTGTAAACAGATTTCATTTCAAAATATAAACAGCAAGGTTAGGGATAAATTCTACTCTGGGAGCTTTTGTTTACAGTCTGGTACCCATCCGAAAATCTATGTCCATCCTATTTTCCATCTTCCACACCCTGGTTCATCCCTTGTTGCCCTTCTGTATCCCAGTCCACTTCCCCATATATTTCCATTGTGTAGTATAATCGTTTTCAAATGAACGTACAAAGTGGATTTCTTCTGTTGGTTTAAAACAAAAGGATTTCAAATTTACAAAGCAGGTGCCAATTAGCCAAACCTTAATTTTTGCAAATTTATTTAGGAAAAAAAATAACATGAGCAAATGAGAATACTTCAGTGTTACAACAGAGTATATAAATGTCTAGCAATAGTCAAATAATTTGATCTTTAAATACAAAATAACCACATGAACACCTAATATACAGGTTTCATCTGAATACATATTTATTAGATAAATATTAGGTTGTCACATCATCTAACTACATACAGTTTTGCAAGACTAAAAATCACAATTATTTTTTTCTGACCAGTTTAAAGTATGAAATGATTGCATTGTACTGTACATACAATGTACAAACAAGGACAATGGCCATTTTTGCATGTTACTTCAGATTGTACTTTTTTTTTTAATTCTCTTCTGATCGTGATATCAAAAATTGTACAAAGTATGAATTTGGTTACAATTTTTTTAATCCCCTTATTTTCTTCATTATTTCTGTAGCACCCTAAAAATACACAGGTGATAGACTAGTACACATAAGCTAGATATTACATGTAGGTAAAACAAAACAAAACAAGGGGTCAGAGTATATTACAGAAGTGAAAGTGAAACAAATGCTGAGACTTCACAAACGCTAACAAACAGGATTCATTTTCCACATAAGATGGAGCTTCAAGCTTTTTTTTTTTCCTGTGAAATAAAAACAATGCACATTCCAAGGAAAATGAATGCATTTCTGTTAACATGTCTCTATTTGTCATTTACATATGTACAGCTGTCCCTTGAGTCTCCACTGCAGACATTGGCGTGTATCTGTCAGTCCTATAATAATGTCTTGGCAGCAGAATTGTAGATCTCTGTGGGTTCTTTCCCAGATGAGCTTCCAAAGGGGAACGATTTTAAAAAAATAAACAAAAGTATAATAAAAACACTACTGGGAATTTCATATCATAATTGAGCTTTAAAGGAAAATGACTGTGATTATCCTATTTGGTAGGTCTTTCTCTACATTTTAACATTATGGCAGTGAAAAGATTAAAAGTTAATTACATTTTCATTTAAAAGCTTTTCCATGCTGAATCCCCTGTACAGTACCTGATTTTAACTGACAGAGAGTCCTGAAACTGTCTCAAATGTTCGACAGTCGGGTGATGGCTAAGAACCATATTGTATTACTGTCTTAGAAAGCAAATATTCCCATAGACTTAAAACATCAACTGCAAAAAGGTCTGTTTTAATTCTCCGCTATTACTGTTCAAAGTAAATGCAAAAACCACCCATAACATGTTGCTATTCTTTGTGAGTTTTGTCCCTTTATGCTTTCCAACAGGTACCTCTGTAAATGATACAGTTACAATACTATAGCAAAAGATCAATCCTTAATACATCTGATCTGAAATGAGTATTTGTTCTTAAATAGAAGAATCTTTTCAGGTTGCAAATTTAGTCAGCTGCTCGAACAACAATGGGGTGAAGCAATTTAATAGAACCAGACTAGAATCCGAGCAACCAGTTCCAGCTCATAGCAAGAAGCATTCTTTATTCCAAGATCTATGGCTAAAAAAAAAATCCCTAAGGGCAATACATTGTCAGTTTATCATTATCTGCCCATGCAAATGACTTAAACACCTATATAAATGATGCAGCAAAATACAGGGAAAAACTACTACAGTAAAATGGCTACAAAACACATTTGTTACTGAAGAATGGTCTTTCCTACCAGTTGTGTGATCATAGCACCACACCACAACCATGTCACTGTGTATTATAAAGGTATCATTAATATTGTGTAGAGATTCTCTACTGGCTGTCAATTCTACATAAGAAAAAAGACAATTCTAAGCAGAACAAACATAACGTATTGTTTCCCTCCCCTTCCCCCCCACCAACAGCCCCAAGTGTTAGAGCGCTCCAGTTTCAAAGACCAGAATGCCAATAGAGTGATATAAATATTGTACCTTATAGACTTGCTGCTTGCCATAGTGCACATTTACTTGTTCAAACAGCTGGTGCTAGCTGTTCTGTTGACTGAGGCAAACTGGCCCGATACCTGTCATTACCAGCCCACAATCAGCCACACACAGTCAATGAACATTTTACTTTTGCCCCAAGCAATCACCTAGTATCCTGTTTGCATGACAGAGCTGGACCCTGATCGTCCAGGTACTGCATGATGTATCAATTCATCTAAGAAATGGATAAGAAGGTTGGGCTAATTTATCAAAGGAAAAAAAATGCTCCCTTATTCTGTTAAAGAACCCTCGTTATTTTTTTTTTTAAAAAAGGACCCATATTTTTCTTCAGACAAGGTATTTAAAAACACCAGCAAAAGTATAACCAGATCATGAAAATGTTGAATATTATCAAAGACAATACTAAAATATTCACAAAGATATTTACAATAGCAATTCTTAAAATAATTGATTTTGCATAATGAACAGCGCCCTTTTAAAAAAAACTCGAAACAGGAAAAATATAAGTGTGGGAACATCTCTACATAAAATGTTTGACAGATTCAATACTCCTACTGGAAAATAAAAGAACTAAACTGCCATTTCCTTTAATATCTACAGCAAGGTGCTGCTGACTAGCATATATATATCACGACGCATGTACAGCAGTAGTGGGAAACTTTAACAAAAAGAATTTACAAAAATGACTTTGGTGAGGAAAGCAAATCCAGAACTGTAAGCACATGGCATGCCATTTACATCGCAAACTAAAGGAGGGGGAGAATTACCTATTCAAAGAGACAAGAACAACAGTAACAACAAAAAACCCAACATTATTCTGTCTGGCACTTAAGTTGAAAACTTATAGTTGAGCACAAATAAGGACATATTGGATTGGAGTTGGGATGAGGAAATGGGTTGGACAAATTTGTCTTAGTAACAAAGAAAACAAGAACTGTACAGTGGGCAAAAGCTGAAATGTCGCACCACAAGGGCAAAGTTGGCACACATGCACTTCTTACACAGCTACTGTACATAATTTATAAGAGAGAGAGAGAGAGAGAGAGAGAGAGAGAGAGAGAGAGAGAGAGAGAGAGAGAGAGAGAGTGCACACAAAAATGGGCACAGAAGCAATAGGAAGCTCATGCAGGAGAAGCAACCACACGAGGAGCACAGATCACAGGGGCAAGACAGTGATTGTGGCACTGGGTCTGCCGAGGGCAGTAGTAACATACCAAAAATTACTTATTTTCCCCATGCCCATCCTTGGTGAACAAACATCCTGGCAGCTCAAGAGTTAAAATAAAGGAAGAAGAAAAGTAAAAGGCAAAACTATATGTAACAGTCTTGAAAACAAAACGTAAAGCAAAACAAGAGAAGCTCTAAGGTGTCTGTCCAATTCCAGTGCCCCTTTCAAGTTGATTATTAATAAAAATATGCTGTTAGTGATGTTACAGTATTTTTTGATTTTCCTTCACCCAGCTCATCTCACTATGCATTGTGCAGTACAGAAAACCAAATGATACAGAGGCTGAGGAATCTGAAGGCTCTGGGTGATAATCAAGAACATTTTGGTTTGCACTACCCCTGCCCCTTGTATGGATATAGCCTTGTATGGATATATGGCAAATATATATATATATGTATATATATATCAAATAAATTTCAACAGTTGGATATTAATGCAGCCACAAATGGCAGTGATTTGAAACCAAAACCAGCAAAAAGAAAAAAAATAAAGAGAAAAGTTGCTTCCTCCTCCCCCCATTAAGTCTGCGCATTTGAGCAGAGGAATCGTTTGCAAATGAGCATGGAAGATTCCTGCATTTCATAAACCCAAACACACACTGGCTGCAGCCTGGAGATTCACAGGGCTCCTCTACTGAAGACAAAACATTAGCTAACCAGAAGTCTCCCTTTGATGCCGTTTGTGTTTCTTCCCTACCCTTGACATTTTATTGTACAATTTGTGCTTTTTGGTGTTTTATGTGGTTTTGTTTGTTTGTTTGTATTGTTTTGTTTTCCTGTGTGTGTGGCCAATACAATTTGTCCAACACAAATCTGCAATTGGGGAAAGTGGAGAAAGGTAAGTGGGTAGAAGGGAGATACAGTTTTAAAAAAAATGGAAGAACAGTCGTTGGAAGGACATTCTGAGACTGGTCAATTAAGACAGTTCCATTTTGTTGCCTTTTCCTCTTTCCAAGATTGGTTTTTGCCAGGATACTTTACACTATGTGTATCACAGAACTCTCTCTCTATGGGATTAACAAAGAATGGGGTTTCCAATAGCTGCACAATTGTCTATGCTTTGTTGTGATGCTTAGCAGAAGTCTGAGATCACCACGTTTGTTTATGTTTTCCTCCCGTTGCTTTCACAGTCCGTGATGCTGACAAAAACAGTTCGGAGATGAAGAAAGCAGGGAGTGCACCATTGATCACAGTCGTGAGTTTGTTTTATCTTCTGTGGAAAGGGAGTGTTAAGATCCTTGTTGTGCAGCCACACATGTGTGAACAAGTGAGAGGGATGGGGGAAATACACATGATTTCAGTTATTCTCAAAGAGAGAAAGAAGGTCGTCATTGCTATTGCTTGGCAAGTCAGGAGGATCCAGGTACGAAAGCAGCTCATCTGGATTTGTGAGTTCTGGAAGCAGCTACAAAATATAAAGATAAAAGGAAAATTACAGGTAACAGAAATGCGTTCGTAGAACAAGGGATTAAAACCTGTCTGCTCCTGGAAACTGACTTTCATGTGTATATATTGGAATAGATCCAAAGATGTGACGCACACAAAACTCATTCAAGTAGTGTAGCATCAAGATTTTATGGTCACTTAATTGGGAAAACCTGTATAACCCACTTTTGCCAAGAGAATTTCAGTCATCCCAGTATCCTGTCATTTACAATTTCATAGCCAACCACACCATCGCAAATTCCGTAAGCAGAGAAAAGTGAGTTTATTACATGGATTTCAATTTATTCCCTGGTTGATGATCGTTTCAAAGGTTGTTCTTGACCATTTTCTCATATGCAACATTCACAAAAAGCATATGTAAAACTAAAAATCCAATGTGCACTGAGTTTGATCATCATTTAAACGAAAGCTTTAAATAGACAAAATAACATTTCCTGGGAAAGGTGAATCATCAGCAGTTTATGGTGTGACTCAGACCAAGTTAAGGGCTCAGGGGTATGATACCCCCATGTGGCAGCAGAGTATATTCCCTAATAACTAACTGTTGGAGAGTACTTGCAGAAATATTTTCTAATTATATTCCCACTGCCAAACTGCTTCATATATTTTTGTTCCAAATTTCATTCAGCACCCTTTTGATCTGACACATATGGGGGAACCCTAACTTCTGTTTCATAGCCAGAGACATTTTCCAGTTTATTCTACATCTAATGGTTTATTGAAAAGCAAAAAATGTTGCATGAAAAATTGGGAAGGAAAAAGGGATCTGTAATAAGTATGTTTTGTTCTCTCACTGACAAGGTTAAAACAATATGGACAACTGTAGCACATGTATCAGCAGTGAGATGGACAACTTTCCAATTGCTGTGTGTTTTCAAGTCTTGTAAAACTAAAAAGTATACTTTACAATACTGCAACTACTATACTAACATTAGGTGAACGCTAGGCAAGGGTGGATGGAGAGGCATCAGCTTTCATAAGTAACAACCTCCTCTGTCAGATTTGGGACCTAATGAAGTAGATTGGCCTATGAAAGCTCATGCTTCTTGGAACCAGTTAGTGTCTAAGGCTGCGTCCACACGTGGTGCAGACATTTGGTTCCCCAGGGAAAACTAGCGGCAGCGCACCATGCACCACCATTAGTTGTCCCCAGGGAACACCTGTGCCATGCGCACTTTGGAGCATGGCAAGATACCCTGGGAGTGGTAGGTGAGACTGGGGCCAGCACTTGGCTGACCCTAGCAGCCTTACCTGAGATCCTGGGGGCCTCCTGGGGCTGCACCAGTGGCAATTCTGCTGCACAGAGCCTGGCTGGTAGCCGCACTGTGACTCTGGGTGGCCCAGCTCTGCTTTTGAGTGGCATGTGCTGCCCTTTTTCTTCACAAATTTTTTTGACCCCTGGATATCAAAAAAACCCTTGCAGTACAGAGAACATCTGAATGTGTCGTTTGTGGCACTGCAGACATGCCACTCTGCCTTGCCTTCCACCTGGCTTCGGACTAACATGGCTAAGCACCACTATACTAACATTAGGTATGTTATTCCTGTGAAAAAGCAGGTCAGTTCCCTAATTTTAATCAAGTAAATGCATCTTTAAATACATTTATAAGGAAATGTAAGTGACATTTCTAATTAAAAGACATATGAACACTGTCCTTTCTATCTGTTTTTAAAAATACCATGGTGGGAATTTAAAAAAAGCTGAATTTCACCAAAGTAACTTTTCTGAAAAGTTATTTTTTACAAGACCATGCATTACACTTAGGAACATGCTATTATTCTGGACTAAAGAGATGGAGCACTTATATTCCATCCTTTCACATACTACTAATTTTTTTTTAATACAATACTACATAAAGGCACACTCTCCCAAAACTGTGGCCCACTCGTCAAAGTACTGTACAAGGAAAAATATAGCTCTTGTCCTTGAGATCTTACAGTTCAATTTATTGTAAAGAATTAATGTAATTAATCTCTGAGTCTCATTGCTTCATATCCTTTTTGAAAATCTGGATAGTTAAAGTCTCCAGACAATTTTTTTCAAGTTTGGGGACATGTTTAAATAAACCTACAATGGTAAAAAACTAGTGAATTTGATTAAATGTGGCCAAAATGAGCCAGTGATGCCTTTAGTCCACAGTGACTTACTGTAAATGTAATCTTTGATTAGATAATTTTGCCACTTAGTGGATAATTTGACCTGCTAGCTGAGCTTGTAAAAAGAGGGAAGGTTTCTGAAAATTAGAATATCATCTAGGCAGCTGGAGAACATCAAAAAAGATCTTCAGAGACATTCTTATGTGCTGGGAATCATTGTGAGTTGCAGTGGAAAAGTAAGAGTAATTTGCCTAGCAATGAGAAGACAATGCCAGACATCTGTTGCAAATTTTGAAACTTGCTTCTGATACACTAATAATGTCACATGCCATTTTTATCCAATCCTTACTTCACATGTTCACCAAGAGCTAAGCCCATTACAAAGTGTTCCTCAGTAATTAATTTCTGCCTATGTTCTAAAGAACTCTTTTCACATTTTACTGTACTTGTCTTATCAACTAAGAACATTTTGCATTCCTTTCATAAAGACACTCTGATTTGATGAGTGATAACTATGTGCTCAGTATATTATGCTAGATATCCAGATATTAAATAGTCTGCATATAATTAAGGTACTGGAAAATGAACGCCTATTTCAAAAGAGTACTGTTACTTAAATGTTTGTGTGACCTATTAATGATATTTCAATGGGGTCTCTAAGGATTCAGTTCTAAAGCTGCCACTCAAGTTGCAGTCCCTTGATGATTTCCATGTAATCTTATTGGATACTAACCCACTCAAAGCATTTTATAAGTAGTAGTTCAAGAATGGTTTGGTTCATCCAATCTGCCCTGATCTTGCCTCTCTCCCCTTTTTTGTAAGGTTATTTAAAGGCTGGTATATGGCAGAGAAGATGCAAGTGTGCATGAATAATAAAACACATGTGTAAGTCTGCAGCACCCCTGTGAATATTTCTTAAAAGTTACAGTCACCAAGAATTATGAGCACGGGAGCAAATTATTCAAAACCAAATCAAATCCTCCTACTACAAAATTAAAATGTGAAGAAGTGGTGCTTTTTTATTAGAAAAGTGTATGGAGACAGAGAAACTGACAGAAGAGGATTCAGTCACAAGCTCCCTTAAGTGAACCAGGAGAGCAGTATTTGGGAAAAGGCAGTCCTTTAGCTTACTCCTTTCCATGGACCATCTGCCAAGTTTGTCTGTGTATGGTGGAGGAGGAATAGCTTCTGCAGGGCTGCTATTGTACAGATATTGGCACAGCACTAATGCTACACCAGCTAGAAGGGAGAGGGATGGTAAACTATGCCAGTTTGGTGCAAACCATAAGAAAAGGGAAGCAGGGACCAAATTGCAATTTGCTCAGTTACAAATTCAGGCCCTGGTCTGAATCATAAGATTCCTTTCCCTGCCCCTTGTTCAGGAGAACTTCAGGATCCCGTAATATTCAGGCTCACCAGTCAAAAGAAAGAAAGAAAGAAAGAAGGAAAGAAAGATGCTTAAATGCCGCACTCTCTCTTGAGAAAAGCTTGCTTGAATGAAAACACCCATGCTAGAAAGATATGGCTTGAGGGTCATGCAGCTGCTTAAAACGGAAAGGTTTTCTCAGCAAGCCACGAGTGCCTGTCATCTCAGCTTCAGTGATTAAGTTCATGTAACAAAGCATGAAACGATGACATGTGCTGCGAAAGCTGCTTCCCTCTCCCTCTCCTTCCTCCCCCCGCAACCTCTCAGAAACGTAAAGCACAGTCTAAGGCAGGCAGATGATAGTATGACACAGACTTACATCCAGTGAGGGCTCCGGCATGTCAGATGCTCCCTGTCCACCAGCCTGACCTTCTAAGGCTGAGGAGGGGTTAAAGGTCAGGTCACTGTGTGGATGGTTGCTAGAAGCGGCCTGTGGTGGCTGCCGGGACTGCTGGGTAGGAGGACCACTGTGATGTAATGGCTGCCCTGACTGGCTGCTGGGGTGAGGTACGTGCAAACCTTGCTGCATGGAACTATGGGATTGATCAGTGCTGCCAGGATGAGGGATCTGCGAAGGAGGAAAAAAAGCAGGAAAAGAAAGTGAGGCCACGACTTACAGTGGTCAAGGTGCCTGAAGAAAATGAAACTCCATAACTGAATGTTAAAACAAACAAAAAAAAAAGCAATCAGAAAAGAGAATCCCATATCCCAATATTAGAGGAAATGTTTGTCTCTTTAAAGGTCATTAGCAAAGGGGAAAAAATACACTGGATTTGTGCAGGGTTTCGTTGCTTTACCATGATGTGCAAAAGAAGGCATGAAAAAAGCAGCCGTCTTCTCTTTTTTTGGATCAGTAATTCAGGTGTAATTAACCCTAGTGGTGTTTTCCCTGAACACCTATGGATGACCAGAAAAACAATTGCATTATGACATTAGTGAAATTATTCAAGGGAGACCTGATTAACTCTGAAGATACATTATTTTTATTCAGACACTATTCAGATTTTTGTTGACATTTCACTCCAGTCTTGGAGGAGAGTGGGGTTTGATTAAAAAAAAACCTGTCAAAAGCGCCGTCTTTGTCAGGGATTGAACATCTCCAGCTGAGGGCTGAGAAAGTTCCCCATTCATATCTGAGGCCTCTAATAAAAATAGGTAAAGACTTGCCAGCCTTGATATATTTATGGGAGGAAAACCTCCCCAAACCAAACAAATGCTCAAAACATTGTTATTATAGGAGAACTTTTCAGTTTTCCTTTCACATCACAGAGAAGCAAGTAAGGGCACAAGCCCAATACTTCCTTCCTTTACAGCTGCTTACAGAAGTAACCCACTGCCCCCGCCAAAATGGCACTTTAAACTCCATGCGCTGAGCCCAGAGCATGCCCAAAAGAGACATCAAGTTAGTTGGACCCGGCTTGCCCAATGTCTGTATAGATCAGATGCTTCAATGGGACTTTTATGCCACTTTTCTCTAATAGCTCATAGAATCAGCTTTAGCTAAAAGCGCCAAAAAGCCCCGCTGAGAAACCCAATCTGTACAGACGCTGCAGAGCTGAGTTGAACTAACACGCTGCTTCTTCTGGTAAAGCACTTTTTCCCCACATGTCTGTCAGTGCCCTACATGTCACTTTTAATCCTGAAACATTCTTTAGAACTTGACCTTGAAGTCATGAGAAAAAAAGTGCATGGCTGTTCATAAAGCCAGTGTCCTCACACTAACTGGGTAAATGGATGAGCAAATGTGAACAATGTCTACATACTGCCACAAAGTAGAGCTGAAATAAAAGAGCAGAGACAAACAATAACAGCATGAAAATAACCCAACACAAACCAACAAAAGCCAGCAAAGAAAACACTGTGTCAGAAGTGACCCTTTCACTGCAAAGAGCATGGTCAGACTACCTAGTCTTAAAATTTACTTTTGGAAAGTTCTAAAACCTAATATGAATAGAAAAGCTGATCTTAATAGAAATGTTTTTACAACAGTCATTGAATTGAAAACAGTCATTTTTTATTTAGTCATGTCTATGCTTCTGAAAATGAAAATACAGTGAAGGCCCCATGGACATTTACATGGAAGTCTTTTTTCCAGTCTCTTTATGAAATAAACAGCAGTGAAAGAGGGTGTAACTGTAATCATAACTGCGAAACTATAATTTCCATGTAGGCCTCTTCATATTGTCAGGACATAAGGGAACTGAGAAAGATAGGAGCAAACCCTCTCCCTTTTAGCATGGATCCAGTTATACCAGTCTGAGGGTGCACTATGCCATACAGCTTTTCCCAGATGGGAAGACAAGTACAAAGGCTATGCACCATACAGTACACAAATCTCACAATTGCTATGTATAAGTGTAGAGAAACTGAACAGTAGTTATAGCTATTTAAATGCTTTGACTTCCCTATTAATTTGTTGAAGAAATGTCCAATAGAAAGTGTGGAAATGTAAACAATTTTTAAAAACAGTTAAATTAAAGTTGTGCTGAGAAACTGTGAAAGGAGTTTTCCCTTCTCTTCCCACAAAATTATTATTTTGGAGGTGTCTGGTTAATTTATACAATTTGAACCCAAAAAACCCTTCTGACATTTGACTTGACTAGTCAAATTAGCATTTTGGTCCCTGAAGTATTTGTCAGTTAGATGGTAATTGTTCATTATGACATCAAGTGATAAAGATTCCAAAAAACCAGCATTATAATCCATTGTCTAGCTTTATATCCGATTGCTGATTATAGAGTAAACTGTTTTCTCAGGCATCTTTGTTCATGCTCCTCTTATCATATTTTGAAGACACTAATTCTCATTATAATGCAAAGTCTAAACAAGGTGCAGCTTGAGTGTACAGCAAAGACTGCTGAGACCACCAATTCTCTTGGGTTTTGGTATTCCTATAATGTAAGCACTCCAGAAAATAGACATTTAAGAGCTGTGAGGATACAACTCTATTGATTACTTAATGGCACCACAGTGCTGACATGATGTATAAAAGTGTGAGTTCTAGATACTAAATGTGCCAGCTGTGGCCTAATAATCCTCTGACCTCAATGGTAATCTGACTGTAGAAAAAAGGGCAATGCAGGTTAATCCACCACCTTGTGTTTCCATCTCACTGCAGAGCCTCAAATTACTGCTGAATATACTTAGTAATATGTATCATAGTTACAGTTGTCCAATATGGGTGCCCACTAAGATCCTATAACACTAAAAGCTCATTTCCTTTCTTGTAGCCATATGCCAGATCTTGGATTTATTTTTCTCTTCTTTTTACATGGGTAGAACATCATTGTTGATGAATGATATTTCTAAAAACCCAATTCATTATTGCTAAAACATACTGTCAGAATCTCTCTCTCATTTGCCACATTTCCTGAAACACTTGGTGTGATCAACCTTCTCTACTCAGCCCTATGTGAAGGATGCTCCCTGCTGTCCAAGATGAGACTATTTGTAATATATTTGGAAACATCAGATGTTCGTTTATGTCAGATTTGGGGCACTGAGCTAAGCTATCAGTCTGATCTAGAAGCAAGAAAGCACTAGCACAGGGGTGGGCAAAATACGGCCTGCCAAGCACTTCCCTCCGGCCTGCAAACCCCCTTCAAAACCCAGGTAATGGCGGCTGCCTCTCTAAAAGCCTCCAGCAGCAGCCAGCGGCACCAGCTGCAGCACCTCAGGCTGTTTACTTGGGTTCTGGTTGTGAGGCAACCAACTCTGGCCTCAGCCTGCCCCAGCTGGCCTCTCCCCACCCTGGCTCAAGCCACGTTTGCAGCTTGAGAGGGGTGGGGGGGCTGGGCCAGAACCTGTGGCGCCGGTGAAGAGAAACAGTGTCTGGGCTGGGTTCTGCTTTGGTAAGCCCAGGCAAGTGGCTGCTGAGCAATCTTTCCCCATGCTGTGCCGTGCTGCTCAGGCTGTGCGGGGTTGGACTGGGCCCATACTGGGGAGGGGAAGCAGCAGCTGGGCCGCAGCTCCAGCCCAGTCAGCACCAGGAAGGAGACGTGGCAGCAGAGCCATGTGCTGCTCAGGGTGGGACGAGCCCAGCCGGAGTGGCAGGGGCTCAGCTGCACTTTCCCCCTACCTGCGCTGGTCAGTCCCAAATGGCACACGGCTCCGCTGCCACTTTTGCTGGCTGGTGCCGACCCAGCCGGGCTTGTCCCATCCGGAGCAGCATGTGGCTGAAGCCGGCTTCCCACATGCTGCTGGGGATGGGACAAGCCTGGCCGGGTTGGCACCGGCCAGCAGAAGCTACAGTGGAGCCGTGTGCTGCTCGGGACTGGCCAGTGCAGGTAGGGAGAAAATGCAGCGGAGCCCCTGCCCTCCAGCTGCGCTTGTCCCCGTCCTGAGCAGCACACGGCTCTGCGGCCGTTTCTGCTGGCTGGTGAAGACCTGGTCGGGCTCCTCCCATCCCCAGCAGCACGTGGGAAACCGGCTTCAGCCGCATGCTGCTCCGGATGGGATGGACCCAGCCGGGTCAGCACTGGCCAGCAAAAGCGGCATGCAGCTAAAGCCGGCTTCCCATGTTCTGCTGGGAACGGGAGGAACCCGGCTGGGTTGGCACCGGCCAGCAGAAGCAGTGGCAGAGCCATGTGCCACTTGGGATGGGATGAGCCCAGCCAGATTGGCAGGGATGGGTCAGGGTCAGGTCATGCTGGCACCAGTGATGGGTAGGGGGGTTGGCTCCTTTTAATGCCTGGAGCCTGATGGGGTGGGCTGGGTCTTTGCTTGTGGGAGGGGTCAGGTTCCAAGGCCACGTCTCCAAAAAGAGTACTTCCAGAGGCAAGGGAGGGACTTCCGGTGGCAAAGGTCCAGGGTTAGGGGGCAGGACTTCCGGTCCCAAGAGGGCAACCAGCGGGTGGGGCAACTGAAGGGGCGGGACTACCCATGCAGCTCTCAACAGCTCACCAAAACTCATCAAGCAGCAGCCCTCCACCCAAAATAATTGCTAGCCCCTGAACTAGCACAATATTTACAAGAATGAGAGTAAGTTCTTATAGTGCTAAGGTGGTAGATACCTACTGAGCTACTGAACATGTTGGCTACTGAGCTTCCTTCGACCTCAGTGGGAAAGTTGGAGGTGGACAAAGGAGCAGCATTAGATTATGTTTCTATAATGGAGATATGTACTGTGTAGTAGAGTAAAAACAAAAATAAATGAATAAAGAGGTAAAGGTAAACAAAACATGCTATGCATTAACCTGGTTTATATTAATATTCCTGTTATCATGCATTGTGTTGTGCAGTTATATAAATATAGTGGTGTCCTATTCACAGAAAATTTGGCTATGCAACTCAAGAGTTGGTGCAATAGAATACAGTTACCAATAAGTTGTCGATTTACATAGTTGTTGTTCACATTTATATAGTCTTGTTCACTTTCTACAGCAAAGATTCATTTTTAAAGTAGGAGAGAGGAAAGATACCTAAAGACAAATAGAGGGATGAAAATGGACACTTTATAATACTAATAATAATAGTAGCTGAAGCAGGCTCCTAACAAAACCTCTTCAAGTGAAATTATCTGAAGACTTTAGGGCCAGATTCTCACAGTCAATCTGATTTCATTGTGCAATTCAGTCAGGGCAATGTAGCTGCAAAATAGCCATAACTTGTCAACTAAGCATTTCCCTGGTGGGCAGGAAGGAACCATCAGATGATATATACCAGGAACTACTGACTGCTACTTCTGTCTCTGCAGGAGCACAGGGAGCATATCATGGTGAGGAATGGGTGGAGCAAAGGTCTACAGGTAGAGACACAATTTACTAAATCAATGTCAGTGCTATCCCACTGGCCTATAAAACCTAACAACTGCAAAATAGGGCTCCCATTACCCCTTTACTCTTCTGCAGGAAGCAGAGGCTGGAGAGAATTTTGCCCTTAATATTTTCTCTAAGTAGTACATCTTATAGAAGGCAATACAACTTTTCAGCTCCTCACTCGTATCTTAAGCAGATAATCTGCCATTTGTCTGGTGAAATTTCATTTGGCCAGCTACAAAAGCAGTAACACTGCTTAACTGTTATGAAGGCAAACTGCACCGACTGACTTATGACTTGTTTGAAGTGCTCTCTAGCTGGAGGCAAAGCAGAAGTCTCTGCACCCTTGATTTCAAAAGGCATAGTTGGTTTGCATGGATGGTTGTTGCTGGTAGCAAATGCTCACTGTACTTTATTTTAGTACCACGCAGTTGACTCAGATGGAGATACCATGGACTGCTCACCAAGCTGGGTGCAGAGAGTTTGTCAAACTAATTTTCTTGTATGCCTTGAATTATTGCATATTAACTTACAGTGCACAAAGTCACTTGTGATTTCTGGACTACTTCTCTACAACCAGCCTTTTCCTATAACCTTCTGGGCTTTCCGACATGTTCTAAGTGCCCTTTGCACCGTTTCCTTTGTGAATGCCTTCTTATTCCCTACCAACCTAAAAACCTGCTGCCAGCTACAAGAGATGGTGAATGAGTAGAGCAATCTGAGGCAGCTACCACCTCACATCTTTATTATATACTGCAACTGTACTTCCTAATAGTCATTAAAGACATAGCACAGATGACTTGTCAAGTTAAATGTTCTTCCATTCCATCTAACACAGTGCCAGATGTTATACAGCCCCTGTCTTGTTATTTAAACAAACATAAAAGGGGATATATATATATATTAGTTCTATAATTAAAATAGATGACTAGTCAAGCCTGAAAAGCTAAATGCTGCTGGTAGGTTTTCTACTGACTGTTGCTGCAGTAGTATATTTTCTGGATATAAAATTCTGCACATAAAATGCAGTGTTCTGAGATAAACAACCTTCCTCTGACCTATGGTCTTAATTGTCCACTTAAGACCTGAGGATCATGTTTTTTTAAAACCTCTTAACAACTGAATGCTATCAGAGCAGGGTTGGCATCTATCCTTGAAAACCAAACAGTCTGTCTATCACCATCTAAGCTACTATTCTATATCCTACCAGACTAGTTTATGGGCTGTTTAAAGAGACCCTCAATTTACCCTGGGCAAGACGTAACGTCACAATGTTTTGATGTAAACTTTTGTCCCAAGGGATGATTGTGCAGGAGGCTCCACTCCTGTTTTGAAGCAAGTCAGTGCTATGCTTTATGTGATACTCTGTTGAGTCTGGGTATTCACAGATCCTCTTGGTCCAGGAAATGAAACCTAGGTTTTCTATGTGCTGCTACAAAGCATTATGATTAACACTAATGTCCAGGGTCACACTACCTCTTTCAGATAAACAACCTTAAGTGACAACTCCAAAAGCTCAAATCTGCTGCCTCCCTTACCCCAAAATCAAACCCTAAAAGAAAAGCACTTCTGACCCTATTTTCTAGATCTTTCCTATTTCAGAAACTGTCATAGAAGAATCCACTACAAGACAAGAGCACCTCACAATCAAGATACAGATTCCTCTATTGCTCCTTACCCCAAGAATTAAAAAAGGGAAGATCAGGCTTTAACTTTACTTACAGATTCCTGCATGGGGTGGCTGAGAGGCTTGTCAAGAGCTGCCATGCTGCTTGGCATGTCTGGAGGGTGGGACAGCTGTGGCCCATGCATGAAGTCATTCATGGAAGTTCCACCAGGATTCCCATGAGGGAAATCAAAATTGCCATGACCTTGGTAACTGTTACCTAAGAAGCAAAGAAAGGAATTATTATGAAAGGGACTCTGCTTTCTCACACTGCTCTCAGCAAAGATCCTTGTAAAAAAGCCCCAGTATGCCATCATAGTGTGCTGAATTGATTTGAATGCTTATTGTGGAATACCACAGCATTTTGTTCTGTGTCACTAAATGAAGCAGAAGGGAAAAAAATTAGAGCAGTCTCATAAATACTTGTTGCCATTAAAGGGTTAACTTTTATCAAGCAATGCCATGTTCAATTCCTATTCAGTTTGTAAAAAGGAACTGTAGTAGTAGAGATATATTCATATAGTAACTTGAAAACTATTGGTATTTTAAACAGCAACCACCTTGACTCACCACATTAGCTTAGGAAAGGAGAATAGCAATATACAGCTGAGAAAATATAGATCCCAAAGAATATTCACTTCTTGAGACATTGGATCACCATGGCTGGCATCTTAAGTTTAAATGTATACTGTGGCATTTGTTTCTTTCACAAGCATTATAGAAAGTACCCTACAAAATACCATGTTAGCTACTGTCTAACAGTGATCACAGGTTCATGATGAGGGTTATTGACTAGGCTACATAAGGAAGTAACTGCAGCACCAGATCACTATGGCTTCTATTTTACCATTTGTTTGGTGTGATGATGTAGTTTCAGTTATGATTAATAGAGAAGAGACCTCGTATGTTGACTCAACCCTATACTATTGTGGTCTTTGTTTTCAAAAAACCCAATCAAACTCACTCAGTTTTTGGAAAATAGGCATTAATAACTTCTAGCTGTTGTGTACAGCCTGGGTTACATTTATATTACATAAAATATATGTCAGTTTAAAAGAAAAATGCCAGTAACAAAAATGAATTGTCAGTAAAATTTTTCCAGGATGTCAGTAAAAAAAAATGTCTTGGGTTGGCAACACTGCCAAGTCAGGTAGTTTACTGACATGAACAGTAGGAACTGAACTAAAGCTGCCAAGCTATTTCACATAAGCCACTGAAAGGGATTATACTGAGCTCTGAAATAAAAGAACAGATTTGGAGCTTGTCTGGAGAGGCTGCAGTTTGTTAGCTGAAGTAGAGCAGCTTTAACTGTTCAAGTCAAGCAGGGAGTTTGACAAACTGAGGCATCTGCATCATTTGCTTTTCAGCACAGCTCATGTTAAGCAGAAGTTTAATCTCAGAGGAATGGAAGTCATTAGCCATGTAAGAGTATTTCTCAAAGAAGTTGGGACTTTGATCTATCATGTAAATACTGTAGAGCCTTGCTAATTCTCACTTTGCTAATCTGCAAACCGGATAAGTCTCACAGAACATAGCTGGTCTCACCCCACTTCTCAGGAAAGATTTAATGGAGTGAGGTTGTGTGTTACAAAGGCTTTGTTATATTTACAAATTATACTGCTGTATGCTTACTGCTACACTGAAAAGTACTGTAATAAATAATTAAAACTAAACCACCCATGTCAAAGTAGTAGTAGTAGTAGTAGTAGTAGTAGTAATAATAATAATACTTTGTTCTTCTGCAGGGCTTTTTACCAGAGAACATTAAATGCTTTTAAGTACTAAGCTTCACTTGGATGTCTGTGTGTTGAGTGAAGAAGTGGGGCAATTTGCCCAAGATGTCATAGTCAATCAGTGGAAGAGAGGGAAACAAAACCTGGTATGAATGACTTTGCTTTCATGCTACAAAATTTCCCCTATATGAAATGAATAAAATGCATCTTATGATACAGGACCATGGCTGTTGTTACAATGTTCTGCTCACCTACCTGAAAACCCAAATATTTTCTTGATTTGATATGGTCTCAAGCATTGGAGAAAATTAACTACATTCTGCACATAATCTTTATTTTCTTTCCAAAACATCTACAAGAAGCATTCTAAACATCATGTAAATTAGTTGGGGATTCTGATAGTATGAAGAACTGGCCCTTTTTGAGAGACAGCTAGTGCAAAAGTAACAGTCTCTAGTTTCAGAATAATTTCTTCAGAATTGTCACTATAATTTAGTCAGTCTCAATATACCAGTTGCTTGAATACATACTTCTTCTGCCAGTATTCAATTTAGTGTTTCCTGAATGGGAACATATAAGTGGAAGAGAAGACAGCAGGCAGTGAAATTCTAAATCTGACCTCCTAAAGTAAAAATGTTCCTGTGGTTGAGGGCAATGCAGTCTACCTTCTGTCTCTGCACCCAAGAATGACCTGTAACGAGCCTAGCCACTGGTGAAGCTTACGTGGATGTTGCTATAGGCTCAATATGCATTGTCTGATAGCCACCCCCTTCGCAGCAAGTGGGCTGCTGTTGAGGAAGGAAAGATGACGTACAGAAAAGAAAGATGAAGAAACTGTTTTTGAGCGTGACAGAAGCAGACACGGGAGCATCTGGTATTTTGTCTACTATAGGAAGCACAGGAGCACTTCAGAAAAATATGGTTGAGACTCAGTGCTTTACTAAACAGAGTGGTCTCCTTAATAAAAACCTCTATAATGATAGGTCTGTTAAAGAGTTTCAGACTTGTGGCTGTGTATTTTTTTCTGCTCAGGGACTCTCCAACACAATAGTACTCACAGATTGCACTGCTACCCACATGAAAGCATTAAACCAACCTTGGTTACCATACTCAGTGGAGTTGTTGCCCCCTGGAGGTGGTGGGAGGGATGGGTAAGGAGAAGGACCAGGACCCAAAGCTGCAATCATCTCCATCACATTTGGCATGATCATCTGGCTGGGACTCATGGTTTTAAATCTCTTGGAAGGAATGCCATCTGGATCATCTTTGATGTGAATGTCTGACTTTATAGGGACCGGCCTCCAACTGCATGTTGGATCAATGGTAACCTCCTCAAACTCAGAGCTGGAAGACATGAGAACACATACATTACTGGCATTTCTTTGGTATCAGTTTTGCAAAACTTACTATAAGAAGCTATATTCTAACTAGAGTTTCTAGTTGCCCCAGAACAAAACAATCTCAAAGTCTTTCCCTTGTGATGCAAGTTGAGAGGATGCTAAAAGAGGCCAGCTTGACAGCTCTTAAAGAATGGCTTCCCCTGTTTATCTACACAAGGGAACAACAAAGCAAACTCCTTTATATGGTCCTGTGTAGTTTATAACAACCCTGAATTACAGGAAACATTTATAGACATGAGAAACTATGTGTTCTCCCCACCCGTTCTTTCTTTTTTTTGACTTTCTGATGAGACTGCCATTAATACATCTACTAGGTAACTGGTCTATTAGCAAATGAACTGGAATAAATTCACTTAAAGTCACCAAACAGTCATTGGGTTTATAATAAATTTCAGTCACTACTCACCTGCTCTAGGTTGAAGCTGCTGATCAGCTCTGCACACTCTACTATTTCCCAAGCCTATTTAGTTTATCCTCCCTCCTCAACAAGTAACTCCAATTCTCATAAGTTTAAATAACCCTAATCATTACTTAAACATGGGGAAATAGCTGCAATATGAACAGGGAATGAATACAATTAATTAAAAATAAGACCTGAAATAAACAGAGCTCACTTACTTTTGTATAGCATTCAGAATCCCCCACATATACTGGTCGACCTCCAAGCCCTCAAGCAGAGCAGTTTTACTAGAAAGGAAGAAAACCTGTTACAATATCTGTAAGTATGTATATGCAGAGAGGGAGTAAGGACATTTTAGTGGTTAAGGCAGTACACTGGGACCAGGGCAACTACAGGCTCTGCCATACACATTCAGTGTCCTTCTGAACAGGTTGCTCACATGCCTAAGTTCTCTATCTGTGAAGTGATAGAGATATTGACAGGCCCCAAGGACAGTGATATTATTTCACCACAATGTGGGCAGTGTGAAGATAAAGCTGTTGTCTTTATCATTATTAGACTGTGGTGACAGATAGATATACTTTTGGAGTATGTGCAAAGTTTTAATTCTTTTTTTTGACTGAAACTTTCAGGCTTACTCAGGACTCATAAGTCTTTAGACACAGAAAACCTCTTTTCAGAACACTGGCTGGCACCAATGTTTTTCAAATTTAATTATTGCCTTTTTTGAGCTATATAAAAGCAAACTTCAAAATAATAAAGTCTTGCAATTCAGGTGCTGAAATCAAGATTTTCACACTTGGGCTTCTCAAGTTAAGCACTGCAGTCTATATTTAGACATTTCAGTAAGGGACCCATTTTAGAAAATGTGCCAAGCGCTAACTTCCACTGATGTCCGTGGGGTTACAGATGCTCAGTAAAAATATATATAAAAAAACCCCCAAAGCAAATTAGTTATGCGAGTCCCCAATTATTAATGAGATGCCCAGAGTTAAAAACCAAAGTTTGACAATTTTGACTTGCATTTATTAAGATGTAAATAAGAACCCCCTGATGTCTTGTCAGGCATGTCAATCCTATGACATTTTCAGTCCAGCCTTGAAGATTGTAAAGGTTCAGCTAATTGAAGGAAAGCACTCCAATTTTTGGATGCCTAGGCATGCACAGTGATCAAATAAAGCTTGTCCTCGGTTTCTGCCACCTGCAGCAGTATGAATCCTGTCCCTTTCAAGTGACAGCTGACTTCTTGATGGAGACTCCAGGCACTGAATAGGGGACCTCCAAAGCTAAAAGAATGAGTGACCTCAGCTTAAGAGCTCAGGATTCCTTGCTGAGGCTGTCACACACAAATCCTCCATGGACCATGTGCAGAGGGGGAGCTGTATCATAGTTTCAGCAGCAGGATATAAAAACTGAGCCAAATGGCTGAATGTCTTGTGACACCCATCCCCAGCTAAAACATTATAAAGGATAGTTCATTACCAGTTCAAGGATGATGATTGGCTTGGCTGTATTTTGGATTAAGTCTCTTGTCCAAAATATTAGTTTACCCATATTTCACCAGTGGGAGAACAGATGATGTCAAAGCGCCTTTTATTTCCTCCAAGCAGCCACCAGGAAATTTTACAGCAGATATCCTACCTTTTCTATACATGCTTTATTCTGACCTTCCACTCCATATTTCACTTTAATTTGTACTTGATGGTGGCATTTCTTTTTGAGAATCAGATTTAATTTGTCAGTCATATACAAAAATTGCTTGTATATGTAATTATATTTCCTTTATTCCTAGAGTGTCATCATCGTCTGCACACCCAAACGATCCAAGGAGGAGTTACAGCAGTTTGTCCAAAGTAAGCCAGAAGGCTAGACCAGATGGTTGAACTTGTCTACCCATCTGAAGCGCAGTAAAGTACTACAGAGAAGGACACCAGTGTAATCCCAGGACAGATATATAATTCTATCCTGGTATACTGTCTTTGGCTCATGCTTCACAAATCCACAATTCAACTGCCTGGTGCCATGGTATTTTCTTTTTGAGTCAGGGTTGATGCAAACGGAATAATCATGGTTTGATACATAAGGAATAGCAGCTTTAGTAATTTTAAACTAGCTAGAGTAACTCTGTAGTTACTGCTCTTATTAATATAACATTTTGAGTCTGTCTTTAATTTTGCACAACTATTTGACTTACAAACATTCTGTAAAAGTGATCCACAAGTTACAATGCACAAGGGAAAATATTTCCATTTATTCATTTTGCATGTGTTGTCTTTCAAGCATCATCAGGTACTGTTATTCTCTATGCTATTCAATGATTTCAGTACATCCACAGAAATCATAAAGAAGTAGGGCTAGCGGAGACCTCCAGAAGTCATCTAGTCCAACCGCTCATCTGAGGCAAGATCAGCCCTATACAAATCCATAATCTAACCTCTTAGTAAAAGTATAGTCAACCCTGACACAATGCAAGATGTAACAGCCTAACCTGCATAGGTAAAACAGGGGAATCATAGCAGCCAACATCCTGCTTCTGTAAAAGGTTGTAAATATAAGCTCAAGAGATCCTAGGAGGCCATGCCCTCTGCTGCAGAAGAATGCAAAAACTCCCACAGTCCATACCAATTTGACCATGGGGTAAAATTCCTTCCTAACCCCAAATATGATGATTGGTCTGACCCTGGGGCAAGACCAGGGGAAAGACCATCTAGCCAGGATCCTCTGGATTTCAGTCCCAGTAGACTTTATCACTCCTGAAAATTTCCCTTTTGCAAAATAAAAAATCTTTTTAACAATTTGACCCAAGTTACATTGGAACAAATTCTACGAAACTGGGGTTTCCTGCAACACAGTTTTCACTTACTTGCATACAGGACACCTCCAAGTTCCTCGTTCACAGTTCAGTTGCAAGTAAGATTCCAGATCAAAGCACTGCAATAGAGACACAGACAGACTACAGTAAACTGAACTGACCAAGCAAAAGGAAAACTTCAGTGGAGAAAAATATGACTGCAAGTACTTCAATTTATTGGAAACTGAAAAAACAGCTTACAAGAAAGGAAGCTTTCAACTATCTACGTAAGAGCACAAAATTTTTCCCTTCTGATAGAAAATGAAGGCATGTGCAAATAAAGACAAAGAAAACTGGAGTGTGACTGGGCAGAGAAGTCAGAGCAGGCTCACGCATTATTATTTGTATTATTTTAAGTTATTATAATTTGGATTAAGAAAAATGTTAAGACCGAATTCTGACCCATGCATCTTTGGTGACCTTGACATTGTTGAAAAAACACATCCCAGATAATATCCTGAATATATAACGCAAGAGAAACCATGATGAGTAAAATGAATCAACTTTAAAACCTCAACCTCCGCATGTCTAAGAATAAAGATGAGCCATACAACCTGAAAATGACCACACAAGTTGGACATAAGATATTTTGGGCCAAATATGGAAGGCCTGTACTGAACCTTTCTTTTTAGTCTTTACTAAGGCAACCTGGCACTGAATTCACTGATGTTTTGCTTAAACAATATCTCAGGTCCTGATCCTATTAACATTCATATATAGGAATATAATCATCCAGTTCAACAGAATTACTCATATGTATTGACAAGACTGGAATTTCACATGGACCTGAAGATCTGGCAAATTACATCACTGTTTACTATTTCAGTTGAAATGACATCTCTGACTTTGCTCATCACACTTCATGGGATTTGCAATAGAGTAAGGGAAATTACAATGTTCTTCAACAAAACCATGTTTTTTTTAAAAAAACCATCACAATGTTTGTTGAAATTTGAAATGAATTTAACTTTTGAAGAAAAACTACATGCAAATTAAGGAAAAAAGCTATCAATTCTCATTACATTTTATTCCACAGAAACCAACTAAAAATGCACAGCAATATATGGCAGAGAGACCTGTGTGAAGTCACTGAAATGGACTCACTTGTACATGCTTGCAATCATGGCCTCTTGCTGGGAGCTGAATCCGCCGGAATGTGATTGGACACTTCAGAGACACTTTAATAGCAGTCTGCTCCACTCCATCCTCACCATTTAGTGTTGCATTCCCAGAAGAGGCTGCCACACTGCTGAAGTTCCTCTTTACTGTTTAGGAAGATGTTAGGTGTGTGAGAAAAACATATAAACACTGTAGTTCCTAATATAGCTGCCTTGTATCTGTTTGTGGGAATAGTACTTCAGTCTGTGCCAAAGATTTACTGGCCATCTTACCCACTCAAACTTATCATGTTTATTTGGAACATTCCTGCATACAGAGAAACTGCTTTCATGAAAAAGCAGTTCAGCAGGAGCATAGCAAGCAGGAAGAACTGGAGTAATCAAGATTGGAAAGACTTACTAGTACAGAGAGTGAAACACTAGGCACCTAGGGACTATTAAGATTTTTTTTCACAAGATAGGAGCTCATCAGTTGGAAATAATAGAAAGAAATACATTTTGGGTGCATTAGTCAATCACAAAATGATTCTGAACCACCATTGTGATACAGCCATCAAAAGGCAACATGCAATCCTAGAATGTATGGATCAAGTTACTTCCAGCAGAAATAAGGAAATTCTAATACTATTAGTCAAGGTACTGGTGAAACCTCCTCTAGAATACTGTTTATAGTTCTGGTTATACATATTCAAGAATGATGAATTCAAACAGGTAAAAAGATAGGCTATTAAAGTCACTGGGGAATGGACAACCTCTCATACTGGTGAACACTAGATGATTTTGGCTTTTTTAACTTAGCAAAATGAAGGCTGAGTGGGATTATGACTACTGTCTATAAATCCATCACGAAACAAACACCAGTGAGGAAGATGAACTATTTAAGCTATAGGACAATGTTGGCAGAAAGTGATATCAACAATCCATGAATAATTCCATGTCCAATATTAGAAAAACATTTCAAACCATCAGAGGACTCAGGTTCTAGTACAGCCCTCCAGTAAGTGGAATAGCAGCCTTAGTTGTTTAAGGTGAAACTTCATCTGGTTATGAATGGGATTTATGTGATATGCTTGTCTATGAGAGCAGAAAAATAAATTGGATGAACCAGGAGGTCCCTTCCACTTCTATGTCCCTCTAAGATGTCACAGAATCATATATTTTTAAATCAGTGATAATCAGCTGTGCACACAATGGTTGCCTACACACTTCAAATAATTTGGAAGAATTCTCCCAGGTTTGTTATCCTGGTAGAGAAACTAACTCAGTCACATGTACAGAAATTCAAATGACGAAGCCCTGAGAGTGGAGAGTGTGCAGTGCTGATGCTGTGCAGCCAGGGGGAGGGCTCTACGCACATCTCAGTGTGCTTTACAGGCTTCCTTAGCTTGCCTGGCCACAGACTGCAGTAGTGGGCAGCGCAGGCCCAATCAGCTGACCCAGACTGCCCATGGTCAGCCTGCATTACCCTGCAGCACAATGTGGGGACTGTGAAGGGGGAGTGTTCTGCTATCTCCTGGAACAGGGGAGTCCAGCAAGAAACACACCGTCTCCCTGGAAGAAAAGGGGTAAGCTGGAGGACTACTGTATGTTCTGAGAGAAGCCATGGCATATGCAGATATTCACTCTCCCAAGACAAACTCACCTGAGAGTGATTTAATCCCGGTCATTTTCAGGTCATTTTTCTCCTGGTGCAGCCATTTTTACCCCCAAGAGAAAAAGCCTGAACACCTGTATGCTCATGGTTTCTCCTGGGAGAGCAACAACATTCCCAGGAGAAGCTGAATGTCTGTACAAGGCCAAAATGCATAAGAAAATCAAACTGAAAAATACAGAGCCAGACTCTCAGTCCCAGTAAGTCCAATGTGTGTCATAATGGGAGTTTAATGCAGTCAATAGCTGGGCCTTGCCAGTACTGGAAAGTTTCTGAGGCCTCCCCTTGTACGAGAAATCCCTTAGTTTGTGTAATACCAGTGTCAATATATCTTTTGCCCATGCCCTCAAGCACCTGGAGCTTGCCTGAGTGTAGTCAAATCCCTGGGTAGAGTATGTGTTTCAATATGTGAGCGGAAATTGTCAGAGTAAGACATTATAACTGAGTATAAGGAAGGGGTGGCCAAACTTCTTACCCCTTCTAGCCACAAACCAAACTTTTGATATAGCTGAGACTTGCAGCACATAAAACTTTTGAGATGAGCATGACCCAGAGTCAGAGAGCTGCATCTAGTGTCCCAGCTCAAATAACTATTCATCGTTAAATGGCTATGGGAGCTGTATGCAGCTTGCAAGTCATAGTTTGGCCACCCCAGTATAAGGCATTCTGGATATTCTCAGCTGGAATCTTGTATTAGCCCTGGCCACAGAAACACAAAACTCACTCTTTGTGATACAATGTTCTGCTGGGAGAAGACGTTTCTTTAGCAGGCCTTGAAGTACAGAACGCACTGATGGCCGGTGTACTAACTGCAACACGAACAAGTGTGACTGCAAGAAAAAGCACTGAGTTACTAACAGAAACAAATACAAAAAAGTGACCATACCACTACGGATGTGAGTCTACCCTTGGATGCATGACTTCAGTAGGAACCCTGCATGTACATACCAGCGTTGGTTTGGATTCACTGAGTTCATGCACTCCCTGAGAGATAGTCTCAAAGTCACATGCTACTTTGCTTCAGGTTCCAAGATTGTGAAACACGTATTAGCTTTCCAAAAGGCTATTAAGGAAGAGCAATGTTTTCTGCACTTTTTACTCCTTTACAGTTCAAAATGTAGGGAGCTGATGTGATAATCTGTTATATCAAGGAATTTAAAATGGCCTCTGAATTATCTATCCATACCCTGTTCACCATTTATCATAGGTGGCAACTCTGTGGGTGCTCCAGGGCTCAAGTACCCACTGAAATAAATTAGCAGGTACTCACTACTCAGCACCCATGAGCCACGTTGGGCAAGCCGGGTTGAATTAATGGGCTTGCATGGGTCTTGGCACAGGAATACAACCCCCCCCCCCCCACTTACCAGCAAAAACCCAAGTCAGTGCCTATCCCACTTACCCTCCTCTCAGACTGGTAAGGAGGGCTGCACAGATGACATGTTCCCATAACATGTTCCCCCATCCCTACATCTAGATAAGTGATCCATCAAACTGTGGGGTTTTTTAAGACAAGGTGCATGTAATGGTGCAGAGAAGGCAACAGAAACAATTATAAGCTTTAGGCCTCTCATCAAACTGTCTCAGATCCTGACCCCGAGAAAGGGGATAGTATCCCCAAAGCCTGTATCCTTGCCACTGGCAAAAAAAAATGGCAGAAAGCCCATGCTGTGCTGTGTGCAGACCCACTCCATTAAAAATACAATACATACTAATTGCAGTTGAGAGCTTCCAGTGGGAGGCAAGTTGCACAGCTCAGTGAATTGAGTAATAGGATATGAGCATTTCACCTTTAGCTCATTGGTTAGAATCTGTCTTGGGGTGAGAGTGGCAAAGCTGTGACAAGCAAATGACACTGTCACTCTGAGCGAGAGCTGAGTTTGGTCTCAGTCCAATTCCCAATGGACAAGTGTCAATGGCACGAAAATCCATCTTCATGTTAACACCCTATTGTCAGCCTTGTCAGATGGCAAATACTGAATGGGCACAGAGACCAGACTCCTCTCTCCTCCTCAGTGATGAGTCCTTCCACATGGCAGTGTAAGGAAGCTCTCCCAATGCTACCTCAGTTCCACAGCAAAAATCATAGAATGACAGAATCAGAAATTAAGGGCTGGAAGAGACCTTGAAAGATCATCAAGTCCAAACTCCCTGCTGAGCAGTAATGATCCCAGCAAAGTGTCTGTCCAGTCTCCTCTTGAAGACTTCCAAGGTTGGAGACTGCACTTCCTCCTTGGGAAGATTCTGGTTACCCTTACCATAAGGGGAATCAGTCCAATCTGGTCACCTCTCCAATCCTCATAGGTCCCTCCCTGAACCTCCTTCCTCCCTGCCCCCTCCAAAAAATGTCAACTTAATCTAAGGAAACATTTGCAAATTGCTCCTTCCTAAAGTGCTGAACTGCAGAGTCAGCAGCAGCAACAGCAGCAAGATCAATGTACTTACACAACAACATGCTGTGACTGTAATTTGAATCGTGTTTCTTCCTGGCTGACAGACGTGCTTTAGGTGCAGAGGTTTATGAGATGTCTTGTTGTCTCCACGTTCAATGGTAAGTGGGGTTGCATTAACGCTGACCTGGACTGAAGCTGGCCAGTTTGTGTTCATTTGTCTGTCTTCATGGTGGTAGCACTTGAACTGTAGCTCCAAGTCAGACCTGTAGTACAGTTCATAAACCCAACTAACTCTTTGTTCTCATATAGCAAAGGAAGTCTCTTTTATGATTACAGGAAATATTATTTTTCCTTTCTTAACTCTGCTTTGTTCAATTCAGATTTTTTTTTGCTGGAATCACTTGACAATTAATAAGCAAATAACATGCAACACCCCCAGAAAAGCCAGCAACAGAAACAAGATACGATGCTTTAATGCTCAGGATCTACCTGAACCTTCAGATGATGATGCAACTTCACATTTAAACCAGACATTCAATGTGAAGATCTAAAAGCACTCTGCCAGGGTAGACTGTAAGTCAGTGGAATGACTCAGCACAAAGGAAAAGGTGAAAGTCAGAAAGGTCTTTTTTGTGTTTATAAAAAGAAAGTGAAGCAAGTTAACTCAAAAGAAAAATCTCACTCAGGCTTGTTTCAGCAGTGGGCTCCCTGTTTACTCAAAAGTATACCCATACCCTACTTTCCAAACAGCCACTCATATAGGCTCTTAAGGAAGATGAGGAAGCCAAGCTGAAACTAATCCTTAATGAACTGGTAAATAGTAGTGTACCTTCAACTTGTCACATAGGTATGAGTCTCATTTTATGATGTGATATGCTTAAGGGCCAGGAAGTTAAAGGTGGATTGAGAGGTTAAACTGAAAATGTAAGGGTTTAGGTCTTTGGAGCCTAGTTACGATCAACAAGACAGCAGAAAAGTTTTGTTGCCAAACTGGTTATACTGATGTCATAACTGAAATGCCAAGTGCATGTTTTCTTTGCTGGAGGTCCCCTGGAAGAGCTTTAGAGGACATGAATAACAATATCATAAGAGACCATGGGTAAGCTGCAGCTTTCTCTTCTCCAGCTGGATTGTCAGAGAATCTAAAAATGGAGGCAACCTAATGAAGCTGTTTATTAATACTAGATACATTTTTGAAGCAATGGATATAAATGTTTAGACTGATTTTATTGAAGGTGGAGGTAATTTGTACTCTGTACTTTTCCTTCACAGAAGACCTGTTGTTGCATACTATTGGTGTCTTTATGCTCAGAAATCTTGGAGAAGGCAACTCTTAGCTCATAATGGAAATCTTTATAGGGAAAGGAAGTGGCAACTCAGATCACAATCTCATAGTAAATTCTTGTTCAGTTTCTATAGAGACTTTGTTAGAACCACCAAAACAGGGTGGGACAGAGGGATTTCTTTAATTTTTTTTTTAGAGTATATTTAAAAAAAAAAAAAAGGACTTTGCTGACTTTAGCAGCCTGTGGAAGATCATACAATGATTACTGGAAATTGGGAAACCCTCATGCTGTTCTATACATATAAATCTAAACCACCACATGTTAAAAAGAACTGCTTTCCAGGCAAAATCCTCATGGTAGATCTCATCTCTAACCTTTTGTTTCCTACTAGCATGAAGGGTTCCCAAAAGGGGGAGAAATACTTGTGCTGAGATCACCTGGATGAATATGACAGAAAAGTTGTACTCAATATTTTAACTAACTTAAAACATTAAAAAGGGCTCTATTCCATCATTCCCTATAAAATCCTAAACTCACTCATTCACTTATTGGAATCCATCCATTCCAAGGTAAACTTGGTATTCCTTTATTGCAATTTGAACTTCCAAAGTTCCTTAATGCTATCTAACACTATCATCAGCAGTTGGGAAAATTCTTATTTAAGTGAATGGTAATAGAGAATAAATACTGGAGCATCAATTATTTTAGACACAGCTGACAGGTACAAAGGCTATCCATGCATTTTTTGTGTGTGGATGCATGCGTGTGTGTGCATGTGTGTGCATGCATGCACAATTATGTGAATGAGCAGAGAAAAATTAGGGAGACAGGGAGGACTGACACAAGAAAGCAAGTTCCTGTTTTTCTGAATGTTAAGATTGCCCCAGCACATTACTTATTTTTCAAGGCAGTAACAGAGTACAAATTACCTATGAGTCTTCATTAAAATGAATTTAAATGCAAACCCATGTTTTTGGTGAGGCAAAGTATGGTTTTTAAAGAAGGGAAAGATCAGATATTAAGACACAGCCTCATGCCTCAGTGCAGCTCTATAAATCTACAGAATGAGCCTGCACAATCCCCCGTAGTGATTACTTATTAATAAGAACCAGTAAATAGCTGCCAAACTCCCTCTGCTGTGAGACTCTAGGATAATGAAATGCAAGTAAGCAATTACTGACCTCCAAGTTAGGTGTTAATTATTGGATGTGGCCTACTTGAAATCTCTCATACATGTAAATCCCAGAACGCTGTGCATTAGGAATGTATCATAGTGGAAATTGAAGGTGGGTCCTGCCTAGATTCCAGTTAGAGGATCCCAGCATAGAAAAGTTCAGGTCAGAAAGTTATTAATCCAACTGCTGACTTCAAAAGCCTATGATCACCAACCTAGGCTTGAAGCATGGTTTCCAGGAAAAACTGGAAGTAATGTGGGCATACTGCAAAGCATATTTAAAAGAAGCTGTTTCATTTTCTCAATTCTATCATGTGTAAGAATAAAATCTCTATATAATAAAATAATGAGATGCTAACTATTTTCTAATATTCTGCTAAGAGGCTAGTTTAAATCCATCCTGAAGCATTTGGAAACTTAGCCAATCAAAGCTTTTGTTTTGATTTGGCTTACACAGGTACATTTTGCTCCTTGTCCACATGACAAAGACAACATAGACTCTAATATTATTTTATACACATTTGAATTACAGTGATACAAAATATTATCCAGAGAGAAAGTTTCCTCAGTCTGACAAAAAGTAATTACTGGAAGTGAAGGAAAAGTAGAATATGGGAACAGCAGCACTCCAGCTGTGTGGTTCACTCTAGTTCTATGTAAGGGAACTTACAGGTTGTATACAGACAGTTATCCTGAGTATATAAGATAAATTATCTTTCATTTCCTAGTCAACTGAATGCCCCTTGATATCAGGACTTCTACTGGCCTTTCTTAGATTCCTTTGCAACACTGAGTCCTAGGTGAAACTAGAAGCAGTCATGAAATGGCTGAGAAAGGTGTATTTCTTGATCAGGTACCAACACAATAAGAAAAGATTGTGCATGATGGATGAAAGGAATATACTTCATTTTGAATGCCTTTCATAAGTGATCTTAGCATGCTGGTCTCAGCCATGCATGTCTTTAACCTGATAGAGTAAAAGCTAGTCAACAAATACATTTAAATAATTCTTTTTCAGAATTGCTCTTTGTCCCATCACATTTGGTGGATAGACTAGAGATCCTGTATCTCTGACACTCTTCTGCTAAGGCTTCAGCAAAACCTTGGCTCAGCAAGGCTTCTGCTTCTAGCAGGCAATCTCCCCCATTCATAATTTCATAGTTGGAAGAGATGTGAGCAGATCATCAAATCCGACCCCCTACCATGCCAGAAAAGGGTAATGGATCAAATGACCCTGGCCAGGTGTTCATCTAGCCTTCTTTTAAAGACCCCCAGGGTAGGAGCCAGCACCACTTCTCTTGGAAGTTGGTTCCAGATCCTAGCCGCCCTGACAGTGAAGTAGCGCCTCCTGATGTCTAGTCTGAATCTACCCTCTGCCAGCTTGTGACTGTTATTTCTAGTCACTTCTGGAAGTGCTCGGGGGAACAGGGACTCCCCCAGTGCTTGCTGGTCCCCCCGACTAGTTTGTAAACAGCCACTAGATCCGCCCCCAGCCTTCTCTTGTAGAGGCTGAACAGGTTCAGGTCCCGTAGCCTCTCCTCGTACGGCCTGCCCTACGGCCCCCTGATCATGTGAGCGGCCCTCCTCTGGACCCTCTCCATGTTGTCCACATCCCTCCCGAAGTGTGGTGCCCAGAACTGGATGCAGTACTCCAACTGCAGCCTGACCAATGTCGCATAGAGGGGGAGGATCACCTCCTTGGACCTGCTTGAGAAGCATCTGTGGATGCATGACAAAGTATGGTTGGCCTTCCTGACTGCATTCCCACATTGTCGGCCTGTGTTCACTGTGGTGTCAATGATGACTCCTAGGTCCTTTTCTGCCTCGGCACTGACGAGAAGGGAGTTCCCCAGCCTGTAGGTATGCTGCTGGTTCTTCCTCCCCAGATGCATTACCCTGCACTTGTCAGTGATGAACCCCATCCTGTTCCCATCGGCCCACCCCTGTAACCTGTCTAGATCCAGTTGCATCCTATTCCTTCCTTCTAGCGTGCCCACTTCTCCCCACATCTTGGTGTCATCTGTCAATTTGAACAGGGTGCTTTTTACCCCCTCATCCAAGTCGCTGTTGAAGATGTTGAACAGAGCAGGCCCGAAGACCGAGCTCTGTGGAACCCCACTGCCCACATCCCTCCAGGTCAAATAAGACCCGTCCACCACCACTCTCTGTGTGCGGACCTCCAGCCAGTTAGTGACCCATCTGACTGTGTAGGCATCAACACCACAATCTCCTAGTTTTTTTTATGAGAATGGGGTAAGAGACCATGTCGAAGGCCTTCCTAAAGTCCAGAAAGACTAGATCCACTGCGACACCTGCATCTAAGGATTTGGTGACCTAGTCATAAAAGGTCACCAGGTTGGTCTGGCAAGACCTGCCTCTAATGAACCCAAATTCACTCAATTCACTCCTCCCATTCCCCTTAGCTTAACAAAGTCTCAGCTTCTAACAAAGTTCCCCCCTTTCCCCTTGCTTCCTGGAAGGTAATCTGGCTAGGTTTGGTTGCCAAAAACATTATGAGCAGGGAGTTTCAACACCCTTGTAGATTGCACCTGGAAGATTATAAATTTAGTAACACATCACCCAGGAACAGAGAAAGGTTCAACTCTAAGGGGACAACTAAATGGTACAAATAGCAAAGTAGTGAAATACAGTACACCTACATGGGGGAGGGAGGGCACTGAGCTCAAAGCACTGTTCTTTTTTTCCATGTCTGTAAGCAGCCTAGGTTCTAACTGGTTTCCATAATTATTCAATGTATAATAAAAGTATAAAAGAAGTAACTGTTCTGTCACACTTCAAACATGTGAATTCCTGGGTGCGTCCCATCTACCAGCAGGTCTAATCAGCTGGCTAATAGCAATTAAAGACTCTCTAATTATACTTATTTTGGCTATGTCTACATGAGATGTTTACTATGCAGTCATTACTGTGCAGTCATTTAGCACTAAAGGACTGCGTAGTAACCAGAGTTATGGTGCAGTAGTGTCCCTGAACAGTTTTTTTGTGATGCTGACTGCGCAGTAGACAGAGACTACTGTGCAGTAGTGTCACATCGTGCTTGCTGCCACATGATGCTACTGTGGAGTAGTCATGGACTACTGGGCAGTCAGCGTCATGTGTAAACACGGCCACTGGGTGTGTCTGCACAAAATACTTTACTGTGCTGTAGACTAATCTACTGTGCAGTAAAGTGTCACCAAGTAACTGTGCTAATAAATTATTGTGCAGTAAATTAGTCTACTCTGCAGTTAGCTAGTACCTGTAAATACAGGGGCTAAACTAACTGTGCAGTAGATACTGCACAGTAGGGCTTGTGTAGAAACTGACTAAGAGCAAATTTTCTCCCAGTCAGCCACACTAACAGAGGGCCCAGTTCTGGTGCTGCTCAGCTCCCAGGAGCTAATCAGCACAGGGACTGTGCCACTCTGTCTCACCCCAGCAATGTGGGGTTCCCAGCTCCCCACAGGAGTGGGGAGCTACCAGTGGGGCAGCTAGCAGCAAGCCTCTGGCTGGGTGGGGAATCCCAGCTCAGCCAGGAGCTGCCCAGCCTCCTGCCCTAGTCTGCCAATAGGGCAGCTAACAGTGAGCCCCCAGCTGGGTGGGGAATCCATACAGCTCAGAGCTAGCTGGGACCTGCCACAGATTGGAAAATGTCCTGGACAACTCCAGGCTGTGCAAAGCACTCTCTGTGCAGCTTAGAGCTGGCAGGCATCTGCCCCAGACCTGGATAGGTTCTGGCTAGCCCCAGGCCACACAGGGAAGCCCCACCGGGCACAGGGCCTGTCCCCATGTTCATGGGGCAGGAGAGCTCTGCAGCAGCAGCTGTCTCTCAGCCCTGGGCACATCAGGACCCCTCCTGATGTGTACAGGGCCTGGAGACAGCTGCTGCTGCCAGAGCTCTCTTGGCCCCAGGCACATGGGGACTGATCCCATGCTCCGTGCCAGAACCCAGGCTAGCATCCAGGGAAGCCTGGAGTTTCCCCTGGCTGCTAAAGGTGGGCAGAGCAGGGTGGAAGCAGCCCTGTATCAGGCTGCTCACATTGGGAGCAAATATGCTCCCAAGAGGAAGCATTTGTAGACATGCTCCCGAATAGGCTTACTGTGCAGTACTGTGCAAAAATTTAACAGTATTTTGAAAAAATACTGGACAGCAAGCCTACTTTGAATTAATAGCACATGTAGACATGCCCATTGTGTTGTTACTTTGCATTTAACTGTAATATGTGCAGCAAGCCAGGGCCAATCAAAGGGCGCAGAACTGGGATATAGCCAACTCAGTCACTTAGAACAATATTCACTTTGAAGGAATGAATACAATATGACACCAGCAAAAGGAATGGAATCCTAATGAAAAAATATATTACCACACTTCAGTTTTTCGAAGTTGGTGACTGTTCCTGTGTATGAAAATTTAAAGGGAAATTCTTCAACCACATTTTCTGCAGTGAAATTTGTGACTGACTCAAACAATGCTCACCTTGCCTGTTACTCCGCCTTCACATAAGATCACTACACAATATGGATCAAACCTACCTCCACATCAATGTCTGATGAACAGTTGGCCGTAGATGAAAGACGTGGTTACTGACTGCCAGGTTGTGTTCCAGCCGGAAGGGTTCTAATACCACTCCATCTCTTACAGGGAATGTCAGACGCAGTTCATCATTGTGGTTGGCTGGGATCGAAGAGGGAGAGAAAGTGTGAACTTTCCCTTTAGCATCTGCAGTGCAATAATAATGTGTATATTTATACAGAATAATGACAAATAACACAATGATCTGTTACTGGGTTAACCTAGTTGATTCACACACAGAAAAGAAAAAGACACTAACTGTAACTGAGTTTAGCTTAGGTCATTAGGCTCCAATTGACAGGCCATGGTTTAAGACTTGGGCAGCAGCAGCACTCTACACCAAAACCTGATGTGGAGTGACCTGATGTCCTGGTGAGGCATGAATTCAATATCCAAGTCTATTCAAATCCTAGCCTTTGCTGAGCCTGCCTAGAAAGTTGCCAGTTACTGCCAATTGTGTGTGTGTGCCGGGGGGAGGTGGGGTGGAATGGAGGGTTGCAATGAAGTTATGTCTCTACTACGGACCAGAATTGAGATTACTAAACTCAATTCAAGTGCACCACCAGAGGGTAATGACTTTTGGTTCAAATGAGGATGCAGAGGCAAAAGGCAGTTCCACTAACCATTCAGTCTCCCCTCACAAAGAGTTTTATTGCCTATTATATGTAATTTACAAGGGCCAGATATTTTCAGTGGTTATGTTCTTGTACACAAAAGGTTTTGTTTGGAATTATTGCGGGGCAGGAAGGTTCTCTGCCCATTATAATCACTGAATTTATGACTGTGTTTCTTCTTTCTCAGTAAAAACAGAAGCTACTATTCAACTCTTACCTAAAATTCCCTCTTCCCTTTGAGACTGCTGAGGTTTAAGCAGCATCGATAACCTTCATCTTTCAGCTCTCCATCAATACACAAATACTTGTTGCAAAGAACTAATACAACAGAAATCGTTCTATAGAAAGCATGCTGCTTCTCCTAATCCCTGTGTAAATGATACCTTGCAGTGTTCATTAGTCATCTTAAGGTCCTAAATGTTTTGTGTCAGTAGACAACTGTGATAGCCCTTCACTGCTCCTAGCCAAATGTAGCTGTGAGGCTGAGTGGCTTTGAAAAAAATATACATCAATATTTGGCACACTAATGCACATTCTCAAGATGTCTGCATGGGACACAGCCAGGAACCATTATAAACATTCACATTAGAATATATTCTGTTGTAGAATTCAGTTGCTTCGCCAGTGACCAAAATATACGACCACTAATATCAATGCAAAATTTATGCAATAAACAAACTCAGCAATATGAGACAGCTCAAAATTAAAAGTTTTATCCCAAGCAAGCAAATAAAGGAATATTTCAGTGACAAAACGCTTACAAGTTGAACTTGAAAACAGATTCCCATCTGGCATTTTCATTTTTTGTTTTAGAAAAAAAAGATTTTTTTCCTGTGTTCCCACCCGCAACTCTGAGTAGCTTGCACAGCGTGGCTGGTCAATGCCACACATCAGTTGGCAATCAGCATTCTTCCTCAGACTGCAGCAATCAAGATGCTATTTATAAAAGCATTATTTCTGGGCTTTGTGGTAAGTGTGGCAGAGGATGAAGGGACACTTAAAGACTGAGAGGCTGCTCTGCTCGCTACTCACTTGGAGGTGGTGGTAAAGCATTGATATTTGGCTTAATGTCAGGTGGGAATGGCGGTTTGACATCCTGATTAGGCGACAGGTATGGAGGAATATTGCTCCCTGGAGTCATAGGTGGTGTGGGGTTTCCCGGAACAGGTGAATGAGGGTAATTTGCCACAGGTACAGGCCTTGATGGCTAGAAAAATAAATAAGATCAAATTGTTACTGCAGTTTGAAAACAAAAGATAGAGTGGAATGTACAGCTCTTAAATGCCAGTGATTAAAAACTGTGCAGACGTACCCACACCTCTGGGGAAACCTGGAACAGTGGAACATCTCCATTCCCTGAGGCCATGACGCTTTGGGGAAAGAGACCGTACTGAGGAGCTAAACAAGTCATCTGCAGAAATCAGTTCAAGCAGACACCAATGAGGTCATCAATGTGCCCTCTGCCTTTTCCACAGAGGTGTCTCTCCCCTAGGCTGATTGGCTGTTCGCTCCAATCTCTCCTGCCCACTTCCTCCTCATTTCCATCTCCTTCAGCCCCCTCCCTTCCTTTGCTTTTCTTTCTACCTGGCCCTTCCTAGCATAACCCCACCCTGCAAAATAAAAGAATTTACACAAAAGATAAAACCAAAATTGTCATGGAACTTGCATGACATTTGTAGTCACGTTCTACCTCCTCCACTGTCATTTAATCTGTCTCATCTATTTTGAATACAAGCTCTTTGGTCTGGGAACATCTTTTATTACATGTTCCTCCCTAGCATTATTTGGCCCCATTCTTGATTGTCCCTCTTAGCACCACCAAAAGAAACATAATAAATAATTAAAAGCTAGCTGGTTTTCCTTCTCATAACAAAGGCTGAACAAACCAACAATAATGCCACTGTTCAGCCACTTGACAACAGCCTACCATTTCCTTTTTTTAATTCTGTGCTGATTACAGCTCTACCATCATTAAAATTACAAATAGGCCTGAACCAATATCTCTACAAATGACCCCAATAATGGGACATTCAAAATCTGATTCTTGACCATGAGTCAGGCCTAGGCGTATTTAAAATGTACAGAGAAGAACTAATTTTACTAACCTTAATTGCTTAGTTTTCTTCCCTTTCTTTTTCCTCCCTTTAAAACATACAGCACCATAGACATGAAGTGTTGAAACTGAAGCTAGCTACTTCTGGTTTTTGTATTGCCTTTTTTTTTGTCCACCTCTGGTCACTCCTGCTTTAGCCCTACTTCTACAATGCCTCTTCTTTCATCTTAAATATTACATCACCTTACCTCTGTCTGAGAGCATATTATCTTTAGGCCATCCAGTAATCATAGTGTGGGAAGCCCTACTGAGACTAGAGATCATCAGGTTTCTACATTCATCAGGGCTGTAATCACCACAGTTTTCAAAATTCCAAGGACTCACTCACCTGTACTGCAACTTTGACCTATGCGCCTTAGCTAGGAAAAACAAACCTTTTTCATGATGTCTTCATGTCTACTTGTTCTCTCGCCCTATCAGCCTGTATTTTAATTTTATAGTTGAACTGCAGAAATTTGCTAGTCTTAATTGAAGCTGACCTTCCTTTGAATGTAGTAAGTAAAGGGGACTGCTCCTAGAAAAGCTGGTTTGCTCCTTAAACTCCACTGGCTATAAAAAAAAATACATCAAAACAAAATGTAAAACCTCAACAGAAAGAACTATATTTGAAAAGCTCACTCTTCCACCTTTAACACACCTGGGACAGACCTTCTGCTGGCATAAATCATTGCAGCTTCTTAACTTAAATGGAGCTGCACTAATTTTCATTATCTGAGGATCTGTTCTCTTGAAGAACTAGAACAGAAGCTGTCACAACGCAATAAATGCTTTGCCTAGAGCAATGAGTGATTGACTGCAGACATGACAGACACTCTGTGGTAAATGAGCCCCTAATCCTTTCCAAAGATGTTTTCAACCACTTGCACCTTCAGCACTACCAGAATCCTTTAGCTCAGACTGATACCCAAATGACACAGAAAGGCTTGACCACCTGAATTTGAAGAGAAAGATCTGACTTATCAATTTTCCTGAAAAGTTCTTAGAAGAAACACTACAAGGAATACATCCTCACTGAGCTTTGCCACAGCTAGTAATGTCAAGCCACAAAGGATCAACAATAGAGACTCAGACTGGATAAATTACCAAAACTAACTCAGAACGACCATGACAATAAACCATTTTCAACATTCTGGCAACTCTGCTGGGCTTTGTTCAAGGAAAGCAGCATAAGAAGTAAAAAGACAAAATGAAACATAATGTGGGGAGGGGAAAAGTTAATAAAAAATTAACTTCCAAACTGACTATTCAAGGCAACATCTGGGGAAAGCTTCACCTGTGGTCTTAGTTGATATCACTGGCAAGTCCTGCATCACTTCTTGGGTTCTTACCAAACAGGTCACTGCTACTATACATTTCCTTAGATAGATTCTTGTCAGCTGTTGTATGTTTTTTTGGCAAAGAAAAGCAAAATGCATATAAACAGCCAAAAAGCTTTATATGGGAACTGTATTATACACTTCTTTATACAGATTTCATATCCAAAGAAATAGAATGGAAGCTGTGATCACCTTTTCAGTAATTACATAAATATTTAAAATTCAAGCAACATTTTCTTGGCAAAGCCTGGACTGAGAGGCACTACCGTTCCATTTTAGTTTTGTGTAAACTACTAATTAAATTATAATATGGCATGATCACCACAGGCTTGATCTGCAACATCAAACTCAATGATGAACTTCTGCTGGTTTTAACTATGTAGAATCAAGCTATATCTGTGCATCCTGTGATGTTACCAGAGTCTTATTTTATGCATAAAGTCAGGGAACAGAACTTTACCAGAACACAGTGGACTGGTAGGACTGGTAGACAGGTGGACTCTCACCTTATAATACTGTCCCATGTTGACTGTTGGAGGAGGGTACTGCCCCGTGCTTTGCTGGTTTGGCATTCTCTGTCCAGGGTAGTTGGGAGATGTAAGAGGCCTTGGAGGGTTGGGAGTTGGATACTGACCAGGCTGGTTAGGAAACTGGCTATTTGGTCCATACTGCTGGTTTCCATAATTTGGCTATTTTACAATAGAGATGAAAGGCAACAAAAATATGTTTAATGCAAGAGATAATTCTGAATTCATGATCACATTTTCAAAACACGAATTAAAATGAAAATAAACTCAAGTTAATGTTCCCCATATCAGGAATTCTTTATGTAACATTTGCAATTAGGTATCAGTGTGTACAATGTGCAAATCCTAGTAATATTAAATGGGATATGGGTCCCTAATCATTGTTACTATTTAGCCCTTTTGAGGCAAGGTAAAAAATGTTATAGTCTGATGGCAAATTTGTTAGGAACAGTGTTTAATTAAAACAATAAACAGTTAATTTTGAAATAAGATAATTTGTAAAAAACATAAAACTCTAATCAGAATAGCAACCACTAAACTTTCACAGTGCTAGTACTGCACTATGTGAGATTATTGCACTGTAAAATGCTGATTACTTGAGAACATTATTGTATTCACTTGCGATGACAAACCTGCAAGTGAAGCAGTGAAAAGGGATATACAATCTTCCCCAAAATGTGAATTCTGATGTTAAAAAAATGTCATCTGAACAAGCCACTCTTTGCTTAATTCAACTGTAGAGAGAGTGACAGTATTTAAAGAGTGAAAAAGCCTTCTTAGATAAACAACTCCTGCAGCAGCAAGTGTATTTTTTATGCCTATTTAAAAAAAATATATCATTCATTTACAGGCCAGGAAATGGATTATTTAGATTAACTGCAAGCAACTCAACAATAAATATTTGTTAACATTTGGATATTCCATGCCAATCTTCAGCAAAAGTGTTTTTGTAAATTTGCCACCATTACATTTTGTGGAGATACAACTAGGGAAATATGTCAATTAGTGCATTATCAGTATCATATATACAATATGATGCTACAGGGAGATTACTTCTAAGGTTTCTGGTGAGGGAGCAGACTGGTATATATACTTAGGTGCCTAAAGATTCAGATAGGTGACTAACGCGATTTTCCGACTCATTTAGAAGCACAAATCACATTGATTTCAATAGAAATTAGGCAAATTAGTGTTTCTAAAAATCCCAGTTGTCACCTTTAAATGTTTAAATGCTTTTAAAAATCTAGCCACAAGTGATTTGTCTGAAATCACACAGCAAGTCAAAACTATGTTCTGTAAAATGTTCTGATCTTATGCTCATGTCCTTGTTAGTAAAACATAGACAGATAGAGATAAAGGAAAATAAGTCAGTCCAAAATTATTTATATATATATCATATACGTGCCACAGGGTTCAGAAAGCAATTTTTTTAATGCTTTATTCACGCTGGGAGTTTATGCAGTGTCCTGACCTTTATTTCTTCAAAAATGAAAAAATACAGTTCATAAACACGAGAGGTTATGATCATAACAACATTCGGTTAAGCATTTAATGTAAAACCCATCCCTGTGCAGAAAGTCTATGAATGCAAGCTCAAGCATGAGAGAATCAACATGACATTTTGAGGGCTCAAGCACTTGCTGGGTTTGTGAAGATTTGACAGCTGCTATTTTGGCTGCCCTGCCAGATGCTGAAATAGGGACTTCCACAGCTAAAAAAGCAAGATCTGCTACAAACTGAAGAATCAGGGCTCCTAGCCAGTGCTGAAATGGACTTACATCTCTGTTTCATGTACAAGGAGGGCCTCATGATGCCCATTAGTTGGGGTGTTACAAGGACTTCTGCACAGAAATGAATGTCACCAAAGTATATACTGAAGCATGACAAATGGAGTAATTAAATGTCTCACCTCTCCTGGGTATGGTCTCTTCATGCCCTGTATAGGCAGAGACTGGGGTCGTGGTCCTGGGTAAGCTTGCTGTGGCATTCTCTGCCCATGGGTACTAAAGGGACTCATCCCAGGAGGCCTGGGCTGGTTCATACCCATCGGAGGCCCGCTCATACTGGAAGGTGTCATTCCTGCTCCCATGCTTGCTGGGTTCATGTTGCCTGGCATAGAAGCAGGGCCCCGAGGGCCAGGTTGGTTCATAAACTGGTTGTTGTAAGCCTGAGTGGGACCCATCTGGAAAGAGGAACAAACCTTCAACGGAAGAAAAAAAAAAGAATAAAATGCGACATGCATTTACAATGGGAGGGGGGAGCTGAGTACGCTTTGTTTGCAGGGTGGATTATGTCGCATTTTTCTTATAAATCTTGCAGCCTTCTATGCTTTATCTTTTTATTTTCTTGCATGATAATCATTCAGCTTGAAATTGTAAGAGCAACCAGGCTGATAGATATCAGTTACATAAGAAACAAGCTGTTTTAAAACCAGTCACTCAAATCCTTTTAGGTGACTGGCAACATAATGGGTCAGATTCTCAGCTAGTGTAAAGAAGGTGCATCTCTACTGACTTCATTGGAGCTAGGTATATATACACATCAGCTGAAGAGCCAGCCCCACATGCTTTATTGCACACTCCCTACCCCCACTCCTTCCCATTGCACTGTCCTGGCCTCCACACTCAGCTCCCTGGATGAAGAGGGCTCCCACAGACCTGCAGTCTGCACCATACCATGCAAAACCATTGGAAAGAGGAGCCCAGAGCCCCCCAGATACTGCTGCAGCCAGAGCAATGAGGGGAATGCTGCCCCTGTGGAAACCTGGAGGCTGCAAATTAACCCCTCACAGACCCCATGTAGCCCATGGGCAGCCAGCTGGATAGCCCTACTTTAAGGAATGAAAGCAATGGAGAAAAGCAGCTGCCACAGATCAAGACTTGCTCATTTTTAGTCAAATTTGTTGCAAGGAGCAACTGTAGGTTGAACTCAGAGTCACCAAACTGCATGGCTCAAACTGCTACTTTCATAAAGTCTGAAAGAGGGTGAATTTAAGTTCTTTTTCTTTTTAATGGAGAAAATGTAATTGTTCTAACTATGTTAGGAAACAACTAAACTAAATCAAAGGATGACGTGATCAGAAACAGGACAGAACCTAAAATAAAGCTCTGGAACTCTTGTCAGGGTGATCAAATTGGGAGGGTTGGGGAGATGGGGAAGGTAATAATAATGCATCATTCATAGGTGACACTGTCACTTTGAAAACACATGCATTCATCTAAGAAACAACCCGTGAAGTACATGTGTGCACACAGCAGGTAACAAGGATTCACATAGATGAGGTGCTAGGTACTCTATGCAATCAGCATGTACACACACATGCCCTGCAATGGGGATACCTGCCCCCCTCCCCTATGCATACCTCAAAACACACACTCCAAATACACAGGGGCTAAAGAGGGACACTCACTTATCTGCAAAGGGAGAAGGCAGATGGGTAGGAGAGATCTGTTCTCTTACCGGTCCATACTGGTTCATGTCCTTGTTCTGGGTTTCCTGAAGGGCTGCTACAGTGGCTGTAGCTGTAGCTGTTGCTGTAGCAGCAGCAGCTGCAACTGCTGCAGCAGCAGCAGCTGCAGCTGGCTGAGTGAAATCTGCTGGCGGCCTCGTGTGTGGAGGGATTCCCATTCCTGCAGGGGTATTTGGGCCACCAGGGTAACTAATAGGTAAGGAAAGAAAAAAGAATTAAAATGCGCCTGGTGTTTTGGTTTTAGATCTGGGCCTCAGTCTGACGTCACTTGGATCTGTTCCAAAACCATGTATAGGTTTCTAGCGAGAACAAGCTTTGTGGCAGGAGAGGAGGGAAATCAGGGATGTAAATGTGATCATACAAGTTGCTCTGGTGTAGCTGTCACACAGATGCCACAACGTGCAGGGAATGTCAGCATCTCCAGTACAACTGCGCAGCTGTTTTCAGAAGTTTCTGACTGCCTTATAACACTTTGCTTCATGGAGCCGCTGGACTGACAGGCAGAAAACTAAGGTATGCTCTGCTTCTCCACGATCCAGGGGCAGACTGAGCAGCAGCATCAGTAGCAAGATTCCTCCACAATAGTCTATCCACGCCCCTCAATTGTTTGCCAGTTTTTCCAGGTGTAGTAAAACAGCTCTATCTCCAGTGAGTTCTCAGTAAACAGGCCAATGGGGCCAAGTATGATTGGCAGTGATTGAAAGCTGTCATTTGGTAGCTCTTCAGTGTTCTGTGGGGAGTATTTTAGCAGCCTCTGTCTGGTTCAAGCACTGATCATAAAAAATACTACAATGTATTTAAATAAAACTGGGTTCACTTACAGATCTGTGAAATGTTTCAAAAAGGCAGGTCAGTATTATTATATCCATTTTGCAGATGGGGAAATGTAAGTAGTGAAAATTTAAATAACTTGTCCAAGGTCACACAAGTTGGTGGCAGATATAAAAACAAAAGCAAGGTCTCTTGAATTCTAGGCCTGTATTACTTTACTGCACTGTGCCATTTATTTCAGCCATCTCAGCAAATGGATGCTAACAGGCCTGGAGAGGGAAATACACTATTGCCACAGAAGTGGTCTCAGCATTGGCCAGCTTTAGAAAGCTGGTGGCAAGTGAGCATATTTACTGCCACTGTTTACAAAATACATACATGGGAAGTAGAACTGTAGATAACCAAAACTGTTAACTTGGTGCATTTCACAAGCATTACATTTGCCTCCTCAATACAAAAAACATAAAAAAAATAAAAATGTAAGACTTCATAAATGCTTGTAGTGGTAAAAGCTTCTTGTTAGGAAACTCCCAGGTGTGAGAAACCTATTGGGTTCATAAGGCCATAGCTGCACTAATATTTGAGCTTATTTCCCTGTGCAGACTGCTGGAAGTTATATCATCAATATCCCTCACATACTCACCCTACTAAATGTTAATCATTCCTAAACCCATGGTCTGTGTCACAGTTGTGGTTAATTAAAACTTTATTTTGGGGGTTTATTAGAGCTAATTGATTGACCTAAGCCTTTTCTAGTTCCTGTGATGAATCTCCCTGCACTCTATGTAGGTGATTTCTCAAGGAGCAGAGGCAGCATGCAGTTTAGCATGGTACAACACATCCATTAAATCTTTACACCAACCCTTAAACTCTTCAGTCATTTATTCCCCACTACCATCCCACATAGCTTCATCTTACCTCCCACCAAAGCCTCCACTTCCAGGATAATTGGGTCGCCCATACATGCCCTGCTGTATATAAGGCTGAGTGGAGCCTGCCTTGGCTGAAAACTGCTGTTGCTGCCCAGCAAACTGGGGGGAATTAATGCCAGGGTTGCTGGTAGTCATCCCAGAAGCCATGGGGTTTCCTGCTGGGTTCATAGGATTGTTAGCATTTGCCATTGGGTTTCCCAGCACCTATGGAGGAGAAATATTAAAAATGAAGAGAAATTTTTTAAAGTACTGGAAGCTATGACTTAACATCATGTTAGTTTGCTACAAACAATAGAACTACAATATCGTTTGTCTACAGATCCTGTACTCTGATAAATCAGGCTCATTGTGGTTTTAGATAGGTTTCAGTTTCTTGTGAGCTATCCAACATCCTTTGCAAACTAAGAGTTACTCTGACCTCCACTACACAGTGATTTTGTAATTAATTTGCATTCTTTGTTTTTAGTACTATCTCCATTTGAGAAGTTACCACAAAGAATTGAGGACATCATTGTTTAGGAGGCCAAGAATTCACCTGTACAATCATTAAAAAATGATTTTTTTAAAAACAAATATTTGTGTAAACATTTTATTTTTCAATAATTTGTCTCCAAAATAACAATTTTAGTTTAAAAAAAACCATATGTTGAACTTTGATGCAGGATCTCAAAATGACTTACAAATATGAATTAAGCCTCCCAACAGTAGTGGGAAGAATTTCCATTTCACAGATAGCAAAATTAAGGCCTAAAGTAGTTCACTAACTTCATCACACAAGCTCTCCATGCCTACTACTTCCTGTACTGGACACAGTGTGTCTGCAATTATGCTTTTATACAGCACAAGTAGTGAACCAAAAGGGTAGGGAAGGGGTGGCAACCAGGGTACCAGCTCCAGGCACTGACTTTGGGGGGAGGGAATAGAGGGGGGCACAAAAATAGCAGTAGCTGTGCTGTTGGCCTAGCCACGGGCACACTGCCGGCAGTGTAGCCACTGATGCTGCCCCACATGTGGCTGTGTCCCAGGGTGCTGTAGCACCTAGCTATTCCTTTGCACAGCACTAACTACTAGATTGCTTCTCAGCAGAGTCCACAGTGCTGTGTAGACATGCCCATAGAGCTGTCCTAGATGTAAATCTCTTTGATGTTAATAGACTTTTTGTATTGACTTCAATAAGAGCTGGATGCAGATGTGGCTCTTCCGGTCTAGAGCAGCCTGAGAATTTGCCACTGGAATGATTGTCTGCTTTTCAATGGAAAATGACCTTTTTCAAAATCAAAATCTGGAATTTCCCATTGGAAATTGAAAGGAAGGCTGCCTGGCTGTTTGGCTCATCCATTCTGGGAGAAATTATGCCATCAGGGGTCTATTGGATGGTTGCGACTAACTCATCTGTCTTTGAAGGCTATGAATCTAGGAGTCTCCTTGTTTATTTCTTTCTTTCATGGGTCCTTATACACGAAGCTCGATATTACCCTCAACATGCTCATACATCACATTAATAGAATGACTAATGAAACCCTCACCCAGTCACCTTGCAGGACTTTTCCCTGATGCACTATTTTTTGTCCCTTTTTCTGAAGAATCAGGCATTGTCTGTTGCTGGAAATAAGATCCTGGATGGAGTTAAACAGTGCTCAATGCAAAAATGATCTTCAGATTTGGTGTCAGGAACTCCTGGCTCAGATTCGGAGCAACTGTAGGATTTATTTGCTTCTCTTTGCAGCATGGATAATCAGGACAGTCTGGACACATCTGACGTAATCAGCTCCCTGCCACTATGGCAGCCATAGGCATCTATGGCATTTCAGTCTCTCTTGTAATCTGCCTGTGATACACACTGGTACAGTTTTCTGAGGATTTAAATGCTTTAGTCTAAACCAAGTTACTGTGTAGGGACAACTGGGTGATATTTACTGGCCTGTGATAAACAGGAAGTCAGGACAGATGGTCTAATGGTTTCTTCTGGCTATTGGTGCCACAGAACTGTAACATTCCACTTTTACCTATTGGCAAGAATCTTCTAGTCAGGCAGTCAGAGGTCCGCAGCTGCACTGGGGGGAGCAGAGAGGCAGACTGCCAAGGCTCTCCATGTCCCTTGCACTCCAGCATCTAAACTGGTATGGGAATGTGAAGAGGAACAGAGCCTGGGCACTCAGCCTCTGGCAGCCTGCTGGAAGATCCTTGTCAATTTGACTTGCTGCCTGCAGGAAGAAAGTGAAATTGATGGGGAGCCTTCCAGGCAGGCAGAAAGCTAGCTGAAAAATTCCATCTGCTTCCCCAGAAACACAGCTTTTGAGGAACGCTATCCCCTTCTCAGATTTTGCATTTCAATTTCCATTCCAATTTGGGATTAAAAAAAACCCAGGACACATTTTTTAAGGGAACATGGGAAAGAACTTTCATTTTCTGGCTCTCTCTACTCTGGCTCTAACTGTTTAGATCTTACATATCTGTTCCCATCTCAGTATTTCAGAACATTTAAGTCCTTATAATTTTAAGGACTTAAAAAGTGTTTTATCATTTTCGGGCCAAACCAAAAAACTCAGAAGCAAAAATTTTGATTTGATCAAAAATTAAATATTATTTTAAACTGAAATTCTAGTTCTAACTTAGCATTTTGTTTGACTCAAAACAAAATGTTGTTTCCATTTGAGTCCTTTTTAAAAAAATGAAAATCAATGGAAATGATTGCCAAGCATAGGTACCAGGCAGAAGAGGAGAAAGTAGTGGTGTCCCTTTCTGCCCAATAGGTGGTTAGGGCACTTCACTTAAGAAGTGAGACACTGATTCAAGTCCCTTCTCTGTCTAAGAGTATTTGAACCCACATCTCCCAGGAGATGGCTCTAACCACCATGCTATAAGGTATTCTGGGAAAAATAGCTCTCGTTCTCTCATGTTTAAATTGTTCCATTCTGTAGGGCTCATTAAGTGTTCAGTAGATGAGAGAGAATGCCTCTGTAGCCTAGTGGTTATGGTGCTCACTTGGAATGGAAAAGACCTTTGCTACCGTCTCTGCTGCAGTGCACATTTATGCATTTTTTCACAGTAATGAACAGCACCCATGGGACAAGCTTGAAGAAAACCCACTGCAAAATTCTTGGTTTCACTTTGTGACTTAAGCACTTTGCTCAAAGACAGGTTTAAATCCCTACTCTAAATTAGGCAGAAAGTGAATTTGGTATCCCACTGCCCACATGAGGAGCCTTACCATTTGGCTACTGGGCAAAAGTAGGACCACGACTCCCAACTTTATGTTATTACCCTAGTTTCAACAGCTGTTTTCCACTGAAATGCGTTGGTAACTCCAGTCTAAATTCACAGACAGTTTGAGATGATCAGAAATAGCGTTTTTCCCTGTGTACACTGTGCCCTGAAAAAATGTGCTTTTCTCTACCCTAATACTGTCATCCATACAGTTATGTGTGTTAGAATTCAACTGAGTGAAACTCTAAAATGCTGCCCTTTCCATTTCCTCCAAGGAAAAAAACAAGTGGAAAAAGATAAATTTTATGATAAATGAAGCTCTTCCACACGCACCCATGCTTTCCTCTATTATTATTTCTAAAGATTTTTTATTATAGTGATAAATTTTGATTTAATCCAAAATGAAATTTATCAAAATGGATAACTGAAGGCTGGGAGCATAAAGCAATGCTTACCTGGCTTTGGGAGGTATTAGTCACACCCCATACTGTAGTGACCACTGATAAAGAACCTGGTGGCTGATTGGTGTTTTGCTGCCAGGGAACAGAGTCATAAGGGAAAGACCCATCACTGTAAAAAACAAATACACGAGAGTCATGCTTTATAACTTTTTAATGAATGCTGGGAGATGGGGTGGGCTAGAAAGAACTGATCTTTTAATCCCTAAAGTAGATGGAATAACCTGAGCTCTTCTCAGACTCACTCCCCTTGTAAAGAGTCTAATAGACTTACGAAGTGGGCTTTGGTTTCTAACAGAGTGATTGCTACTGTATGAAAGGAGCTGGGAAATAAGTTTGTTCGTGATAGACAAAACCCACCTCATGCTGGAGGGAATATATTCAAACACAGAAATTTCACCTCTAAAACTCTGCCACCTGAAGAGGTAATAACAAACTTGTAGACATAGTTTTCAACAAGGACACTAAGCAAGCTGCCTGGATGTGTTTGTTTTGTGACACAAAAAGTCATCCATCTCAAGCTCTTCAACAATCATTGCTTCAGCTGTCTCATCCCAATTCAATTAGCTTGTGAGACTAGACTGCAGCTACAATGTCTGCACTGGGTCCCAGAATGGCCAGAAGAGCCTTTAAAAGAATAGTAGTTGCACAATCATTTTCAAAAAGTAAATTAAAATTCAGCTGGCGTCCTACTGCATGATGGCTGGATGCTGCTGGATGCCAAAACCAGTATTAGCTAAGTGGTGTTCTAGAAAATCAACTGCTGAAATACAAATGTGTCTGCTCAGATAACTATGTGATGGAGAGAATTGGCTTTTTCCATAAGCTATGGTCACAGACACAAGCAAAGAGTTTCTGTGCTCTGCTTCTGGAGAAGACTTACAGCTCTTTGCAAAAAAAAGCCCTGCTGAATACAGTACAAATAGAGAATATTTATATATTTCAAACTAAAGGATTATGCAATATAATTTATCAAATATGTCAAAACCTTTAATGGCGAGTAAAGATAAATGCAATGTATGTGCAAAAGATTCTATCTGCAATTAATTGGTTCACATATTATTTTTCTCAAGTTAATTTTATACATGTATGATGCTTTCCTCAATTGTGTATCAAATATTTAATGAATATATATGCGTCGAGCTTTGATTTTAAACAGATGCTGACCAAACGGATTTTAGACAGGTCCTTTTAAAACAGATCCTTTAGGCTACAGCTGTCCAACCAGTAGTCCCTGGGCTCTATCCACCCCCCAGGGGGTTAACCTGCAACTCCCAGGCTCCAAGCCAGGGCACCAGTCCCCCCACTGCTGCTGCAGTCCCCAGGGTCCTCTTCTTTTCTCTGATTATGCTTCCTGCCCCTGGGAACAACATGGTGTGGCCTGTGGGACTAAGAAAGCCCAGAGATCTGGGCAGTGCAGTAGGGAAAGAAGCCACCAATGTAGTGCAGCAGTGGTGTACCAGCATTGCACAGTGGTGGGTTAGGGATGTCCAGTGGGAATGCTGGGGATGCTTGGGATCCCACCCACTCAGAGGCTTTACAGTCCTGCTTTAGGCAAAGAATCTAGTCTTTGACTGCACTATAAACTGTAACTGTGATTCTGCAAAAACGTTTTTGTCTAAGGAAATAGTCTGGCCCATAGTATTTGAGTGCTGGACGGTCTTTACCTTTGAAGGCAGGATACTTAGCAAGTTCAGTAGGCTGCACTCTGGCCAGGTAGGTACAAAGCTCTGTGCGAGCGCAACTCCTGAAACTGTAGCCAAGCAAAACCCATTATTAAATGGTGTTTGACTCAGAAGCAGGAAGTCCTCCCATGTTCCAGCCAAACAGCCTAGTGGTTAGGGCATTTACTCAGGAAGTAGGAGGCCTATGTTCTAAGTCCACCCCACCGATCACCTAGGGCAGTGGTCTCCAAACTTTTCTGATTGTGCACCTCTATCAGTAAAAAATTTTTGAGGATGCACCCCCAATATATGTCGCAACATGCTGAAAGCGAACGAACGTGTAAGGGCACCACTGTCAACCCCTCCACGTTGTGGAACTCCCATTCTTCCCCCAGGATACCTTGCATAGCGTACGTGACACGTGACAGTCTGACATATGGACTGAGTGAGGGCGCCAGTGTCAATCCATATATTAAATATTAGTAAAGCTTAATTTCTTTCTTATTTTTTTAGATAAAAAATAAATATAAATAGTAGTTCTAATATTTTCTTCCCGCACCCCAATGGATCATCTTGCTTTGGAGACCACTGACCCAGGGAATCAATTCCAGGAATAGGGCTGGAAAGGAGACCAGATAATACCAAGTCTGTGTCCTGGTGGTTAAGAGCATCGTGCTGAGAAGCAGATGGAGGATCAATCCCCCTCTGATGGATAAAATGTTAGTCATGATGTTTTTGCCTGGCTCCAATTTCAGGACTTACACTTGTCCTGGGAAAACTCAGGAGCTGTGTGGAGCTTGGACATCCGTGCTGTATGTGGAACAGAATCACAAACTGCCAAAAATAGCAACTACATTTTGGGTAAGTGCCATTTGGGCTCTTAAGAATGAAATAGGATCCAGCTGCAAGTGACTAACCCAAAGTCACAAATGGAGTCTATGGTGGATCAGGGAACTGGACCCAGATGTCACAAATTCATGCTTTTACTCTTACCACTGGACCATCCTTCCTTTGTCTCAGGGTGAGGAAAGAGGGGAGGGAAGAGGGGACAGGACACACAGTCCACAACTGCTTAGAAGCTGGACAACCTATGGATGTCTCTTTTGCTCTGATAGCCCTACTAGCTGTGTTCCACATGGAGTCCTGGTGGCACACTAAGTTTTCAGATCTGTAGATGCCAGGTGAAATGGCCAAGTTCCTACCAGAATCTTTCTAGGACACATCCTCCCACTTTACACCCCACCACATTACGTGCTCATTCTTCCCTGTGTATACTTGTATCCTTCTCTCTATGGAACAGCTTTCCCTTTTTGGTTTTTCTTCTTACTTCATTCTCCTTTCAAGGACTCCCACTTCCTTGTTTTCTTTCCCTTCTGCTTTTGAATCTCTCTCTACTGTTCTTAATGCTGGTGGAGACCAGAACTCTCCTTCTGATGTTGTGAGTACCAAGTACTGCCAGAGTCACAGAGCAAGGGGATGGTGAATTAGCAGAAGTAACTAACCTCTAATAACTAGAGAAGAAAACTGGAACAATATAGTAATTTCCTAGGGTCAGAAAATAGAATCTCAGGGACAAGGAAAATACCTTGAAATTGTTAGCAAGTATATACTCATGAATTAGCAGGAAAACTGTAGGAAAAGGATCAGAACACACATCAATTGAAAGCGCTTTTACTGCATATATACCCTCACATCTCATCTATGTAGTTCAATGTTTTAATGTTTTGAA